CGCACGTATTTTGCGAATGCAATATTATGCCGAATTAAGCCTCCGTATTTGCATCTATCTCACGGACGCGGCGCACAATAGATCAAACGCCAGAAGCAACGCCGCGGATGTTACCGTGAGACATTTAATTTTCTACGTGAAAGGATAAGGCGGGCTGAATTTGGCCGGGTTTCCGGGGGCGGCTGCTCGAACTGTGCTACGCTGCGCCTCAAACAGGAAGCGAAAGTACGGACAGTTCCGATAAAATTGGGAATGACATCGGAATTTTTTCAATCATTTCAATTGTCGAATCTAGAAGGTTTTATAGTAAATAAGGAAGTGTTTTAAGTGACATCATGCCACGACGATACTACGTATACGTGGGATTTGCAGACTTCACGTATTTTCGAAAAAAAATTTTTTGTTATTATTTCGAAAATATGCAGGATTTCTTACGATGTTTTTCCTCACCGTTGAGCACGTGATAGTTCGGCACCTGAAATTAATAATTTCATTGGTGCCGGCACCGGGGATCGAACTCAGGTTGCTCGAGTATATTGAATTAAAGGCGAGCGCCCGGACACTGAGCTATCACGGCTGAAAATGATTAGTTATTTTTTTTAATTTCTGGAACTGTTTTATTATATTGGTTGCAAATAAAGGACGAGATTGTGCACCTGAAATTCCTTTATAAAATAATAAAAAAAATATTTACATTGAAATAGTTAACTATGAACATCAACTTGTACTGGTTGGCTTTGAACATGAATCTGCTTAAAACAACCATATTTAAACATACGTAAGTTGACATTTGCAACGTATTTCTTTATCCTATACATAACGAACATTCAACGAAGCTACTTAAGATTTCCTTAAGCGTGCTCTGAAACCTAAGTAGGTGCGCTGCAAAGGCCTTTTATAAAATATTTAAACTGCAACATTATATTGCAGTGTTCAAGCGCATCTCGCAACGAGATAATCCAGCAAGCGAGGTGACTGGCGTGGCGCTGGAAATGCCGCCCTCCAGGAATAAGCCCGCATTTAAATTGCGTACACCTTCTCACTTAATCCGCTCGCAAACGTATTTCGCTACGGTTAGATCTTGACGCTCTCAGAGGCTGTTCCAACGTACGAAGATGCAATATCATTGAGATTTATAGGGTCGCGTAATGCGGGCTGCTCGAGTTTGAAATGTGAAATTATAAGATGTTCGTATTCCGATTGTACAAGGGCTTAATAGTATTACGATTGATATTGTATCACTACATTGTATGAAACAAAGTCGTCCCGCTGTCTATTTATGCTTAGATCTTTAAAACTACACAACAGATCTTGATGCGGTTTTTTTTTACTAGATAGAGTGATAGCGTAGATTAGAATGCCGAAGACGTGGGTTCGATTCCCACAGCGGCGACAATCTTTTCGCACTTTTTCTACATATTTAAATGTTCAATCTTAAGTGCAAAGATTAGCACTATAAACAATTTAAATTTCTAAAAAAAAAGAAAAAGGAATGGCGACATCTCTCGTTCGAATTATCGTTGTAAAACGATATTCGAAATTGTTTGTATGCTGGAAAGGATATAACAATAGATGGCGCCGAGCATTGCTTCAAATGCTAAGAAAACAATGTAGAGGAATACGTTAAGATTTTCGTCGGTGTGGCAATCAGCCGTTTAGCTCAGTGGCTAGAGCGTCAGGCCGCGAATGCCGAAGACGTGGGTTCGATTCCCACAGCGGCGACAATCTTTTCGCACTTTTTCTACATATTTAAATGTTCAATCTTAAGTGCAAAGATTAGCACTATAAACAATTTAAATTTCTAAAAAAAAAATAGATAGAGTGATTCAAGAGAAATGTTTATATGCATAAAACGCATCCACGCGAAACTGGCCCGGGTCGCTAGTAGTTGGATATAAATGTATTAGACAATCTCTAAGTGATCTGTTAAATCTAGCTAATATTATAAAACCGTTGTTGGACTAAACTTTGGAACAACTTGGACTTGAACATTGGCTTTTCGGTCTCGTATTTTATATGACAAGCGCTCTAAGTTAAAATACAATTAACATAAACGACGAACATTAGAATATGCATACATACATTTTTAGAAGTATATTCTTTTTCTTCTTCATCGCGCTTTTCATTTCTGAAACTCTTGTCTAACTACCAATCGGTTCCTATTGCTGCTGGTCGACCGAGGTGATGGTGTCTATTAGTTTCCGCCAGGAGTGCCTGTCTTCATTCTGTCAGAGTGATGACAATAGGCAGGCCTCGGGGTCGGACCAGAGGTGTAGCATTCTACAGACTACCTCGAGGCATATATACATATATCGAATTCTTATTAGTTTTAAAATTTTAAAATGGACCGCTCCTTTACTGGACAAAGACCTTCTATTAACAAAGACACGTATTGTCGTATATATTGTCTTATTGTGTTGGTACTACAGTACTTATACTGAAATGGGATTTGAATGACAGACGCGCCATTTTTCTTTTTTTGAATATATAATGTAAAATTCATCAATAATTATATCGTATTAATGATTTTTATTTCTTTAAAAAATTCAACGAAAATGGGTATGGACAAAAACTACTCCGTACAGAGGGTATTACGGCGTAGTGTAGACTCCACTGCGAATTAGGAGCCTTTTTTTATGTGAAAAGTTGCCAAGCGAGCAGGCGGTTCACCTGATGTTAAGTGTATACCGCCGACAATGGACATCAACTACACCCGAGGGTTGCAGATGCATTTACAACCTTTGGAAAATTGAGCTCCGGCTAGCTCACTCACCAGACGATACGCGAAAATATTATACTTCCACCTTACGCCGGTCTTCTATGAGGTGGTGGTAATTAACCCGGACGAGCCTGCCCATTCGTGTAACAGCTGAGGCTGCTGCGTGGCCCTACCACATATCTTCGAAATATTTTTCCGACAATACTAAAACAAAAATCATTTACATGTAAGGCTTTTCAATCCACCCTCCCATAATACACATATCGTTAAGCATCATTAGGGTAAAAGATCGTAACTCGTACTACAAAAATGTATTATTGTGCAAAGGCTCGAGCCTTTCGCGACAAAAGGACGGATGTTACGTACGTAGAGTCGAGTAAGTGAATCAAAGAATATCGCCGTCTTAAGATAAAAAGGTCAAAGGCCACTTCGCGTGTGCTTTGTGAGAGTGGAACCATTGTGCGTACTTTTCGGGCGAATTTTTCGGCAGGTCTTTTGATCTAACATGTTCAGACCAGTGACTGATGGTGTTAAAAATAATGTAGCCGTTTTCTTACTTATATTTACGAAACTAGCGACCAGCCCCGACTTCGCACGGGCGCAATGCTGATACTAAATATGCTCTACTATGTTTCTCTACTACATTGTTACGAGCTGCGGGTTCGGGATTCGTGTGAAAGCCGGCCGTTTAAATGTTTACTTTATTGTCGCCAACAAAGATGTGCACAAAGAGCCTCTCAATAGCGTTCTAGTCCCTACAACTACCACCGGTGCGACGACTCTCCCGTTCCGCACCAACCTTACAGTGACACGACTGCCGGTGCGCTCCCTCTTACACCAATCTCCACGTACGCGTCCACTGGTGCCACGATCCACACGTTACTGCACCAACCCACCGCGTACGACTTTACTCTACTAGTCACTTCACGTCACTGTTCACTACTATACTGTCCACTCACTATTACTTCACTTTTCCACTTGCTTCTTCCTGTTCCTTCTTCCTAGAGTTCCTCCACTAAACTGCCGTCAAAGGCGCTCTGAGCCCCTTCAATAGCCGGAATTTCGTTCGTTGTTCAAATAAAGTTCTGGAATTCGAACCTTCTTTCAAATTATAAATATATTTTTTATAATTTAAAAGAACATTTTATACGTCATTCCAAACTGTCATGGACGGATCGTTGACGTTTAAGACGTCAACCCTGTAATCGTATATGCATGTATTATATATATATAAACCTTCCTCTTGAATCACTAACTAGTAAAAAAACCCGCATCAAGATCCGTTGCGCAGTTTTAAAGATCTAAGCATACATAGGGACAGACTTTGTTTTATACTATGTAGTGTACTATGAGATGAATAATGTTTCTATCAACATAACTAAATAGAATTTTTCTACACATTTTACACATTTTGGCACATTACTAAAATACGTAGATATAGTCTATATGAGTACCAAGCTGAAGTACTGGGCTGGCCACAGCTATCGTAGAACCGATGGACGTCGTAACAGGCGGGTTTTTGAATGGACACCACGTCTCGGAAAACATACAATCGGAAAAACCCCTGCCAGGTGGCATGGGTCCACCAACCAGAAAGTTCGCTGGTAGGGCTGGATGAAGAAAGCGGACGATCTTGCACCATGGCGTGCGCTTGGAGAGGTCTATGCCAGCAAAAGGCTGATTGGATTTTATTGGATTAAAAATGGTTTACGGGTTTTATCATTAGACATACAAAAAGTGGTCTAATCACTCACAAAGTGCAAAATGAACTGCGTCGAAAAGTGTTACAAACCTTTTTACACACATAAATTTTTTGCGAATAATATAATTATAAATATTGGAAGAAACTGAAAAAGTAATACGTTTCCTCTCTGAATATACTTGTACTCATTGATCGGCAAACTTGCATGTGTCAAAAAGTTCAATTTCTTTTAAAGAAAAGAGATTACCTTGACGCTTTTCTAAAGTACATTAATCCTGGCAAGTTGGAACACCAAAACAATGCCACGGCGTTACGTTACAAAATGGCCATCGTATTACCGACGATTCTCATTTTCCGCTCCGATAGTCGTTGAATATTCATTTCGCGTCAAAACGCCCGACGTCGACGGGAACAAATATAAATTAGCATCACATTGGACGCGGCGAAAAATATTTAGAAGGTGTCTGTTTGCTCGCACGTCATTGCGGTCATTAATATTACAACAATAACGATGTTCCGCCGATTACTGTCACATTTATAAGGAGCAGGTAGCCGTGGAATGGCATTAGTGGCGGGAAAATGGCGCGGCTGAATTTGTCTTTGGTCATTCTACTTCTCTACGCAGTAATGGTTCTGTGCGCGGACAATGACACCACTTCCACCACCCCAAGTCCGGTGACGACCCCAAAGCCCCCTCCTCCGCCGTCGAACCCTGCTGCTGGGGTTGGTATTCTTTATAGTAATCCTTACTAATATTATTAAGGCGAAAGTTTGTATGCATGGATGGATGTTTGTTACTCTGTCAAGCAATTACTGCTGTATGGATTTTAATGAAACTTTACAATAATATAGCTTATACATCAGAATAACACATAGGCTATATAATTTATATACATACTTTTATGTGTATCTGTCTTTCTGTCTGAATGTTACGCCTTCAGCCTATTCTACGCAGACGTTGTCGCGGGCAGCAGCTAGTCATGTAATACTTGTGTGCCTTTTGCAATATCCGCCCGATCATTGGCTGCCATCTGATTGTAAAGCCACGTAAGGGCCACGAAACAGTCTTCGCTGTTGCATAAATGGGCAGGTCCGTCCGGGGAACTACCACGACCACACAGAAGACCGGCGTCATGTGGAAGTGTTTACTACTACGTTTTTTATGGTGAGTGAGTTAACCGGAGCCCATATATGGATATAGTCCATTTTCACGTCAAATCAAATGCACTGTTTCATGTTTGAATAAAACCGGAATAAATCAAAATGTTCTTACTACAACAAAGCTCAAAACTTTGTGTACGATGAATGAAAAACAACATGCAATTACTTAAATATTTTCTCTTCACTCATAAATTAATCTAATCGATAACAGTTTACATAGGGTGTATTATAGCAAAATCTGCATGTTTACAGATCGTGTCCAAAGCGGTACACCTTATGGTCCAAGTGCCGAAAATGATAGCAACGACGTGTTCAGATGTAAGTTATCCAGACAGCCGTTTAAACGATTTTCATGAAAGTTTTATGCATTCAAAACTATTTTTATTTTAATGATAGACGATATCATATTGTGCTAGCAAGTCTTAAGATACAATTTTTATTCCGTAAGTTTAGTAACGTAGTAATAATCGTATAGAATCAGCTTACACTTCAAAGAATATATGTATGCATATTCCTATAATGTAACTTGTAGTTTAGTTCGTATCACGAAAGAATTAACTTAAATGCCGATTGCCGAAGTCATCGTTCTAAAATGTTTTTAATCTATACTTCGTTCTCAACTATACCAAATGGGCTGAATAACTAAACTTCTCTATATTAATAATTAAACCTCCTTTATCAGTTTACCGTATATCGCATGCGTAAACTTTTCAGTACAATAATTTTGTGTTATGCACTTATAAACCAGAAATTTATCTCCCGCAATGATCCGCTGGAAACCGCGCGGCCTAATACATTTGCCTCTTTTTTTTTCTTATAAGGAAATTTAAAACGATAAAACTTGCATTAAAGTATCAAAAAAACTTTCCACGCCTTTGTCTTCGGTGTACAACAAAAGTCCTCGGTGTTCCGTAGTAATAAATATTTTAAATAAATTGTTATTACAGGCATTTTTTTATATTTAAAGAGGATAGATTATTTCTTGGTATTGGCCATTCTAAACCTCTTTACATATTTTAGTGTTGAATAGTACATAAACTTATGCTTGATAACTTAAAATACGGACCATAGAGTAAAATGCTTATTTCCTTCATAAAGTACGGAGACGCTCGCGTAGACAAAAGCCGTAGACTGTGAATCGCCCATTTTCTGTAAGATAAACATCGTGTCTAAACCAAGATCTATTATCATTTTCACTTTTTCTTTCAGACCATCGACAGTATTTTTTCAGGAGGATTTTTTGGATAAAACGTACGACCAAGAACGTTTCACGGCGCATAAATTTAAAATAATATAATTTTTACTTATCTAGTACATAACAATGTTGTACCGCATTTTTGCAATAAATTTATGATTGAACAAAAAACTGATTTTTATTTAATAAAACACGAACTTCCTTTCTTTTTACTGTTTAATAAAATAACGGTTTCTCAAACAATGTTAACCATATCAACACGCATATATTGTTTTTTTTTTTTTTAAGTTTTTTTTCCTGAAGAATAACGCATACTTACTTCAAAGTTTTTTTGTCCTGAAGCATAACATATACTGAAGCTAAGTAAATTATCTTTTACATGTTACCGAAAGAGCCTTGTGGTAAAGGTGTATATTATTGCAACTGGGTTCATCACGTAATGGCTCTGCAAACATTTACTTAACGTAAAGAGCGGAATGCCGACGCTGCGCTCTTATCGTATTTCTTTGCTTCGTCTTCGGGTCCTGTGTACCCAGTGTATACGAAAAATTCACTGCACATAGGAACAAATAGTGTTTTGCCAAGAGATCCAGTCATGCGATGTGCAGTATCTTCTCTTTGGTTTCTGTTCTGTTGTGAGTTTTTGAAATATATCTTTTTAGACACCCCTTTGATTTCCTTCGTTACTAGACTTATTTTCGATGAAACGCTTATTAAAACTTGACGAAATGTTGCTTATTCTGTATAAGGTACAGAAAATATCTTTTGAAGATAAAATATAAAGCTGATGCACCAATGAACGCAGAAATCAACAGTTTGGAATCAACTCACTGTAACCATACCACTAGATTTGATAAGCGTTAAATCAATAAAAAAACCGGCCAAGTGCGAGTCGGACTCCCGCACGAAGGGTTCCGTAATATTTTCTATAAAAACGGCAAAAGAAAACATGTCTGTTGCATGGGAGCCCCACTTAAATATTTTTATACAGTCTTTTAATATTTGTTGTTATAGCGGCAACAGAAATAAATCATATGTGAAAATTTCAACTGTCTTACTGTCACAGTTCATGGGATACAGGCTGGTTAACGACGGACAGACAGATAAACAGCGGAGTCTTAGTAATAGGGTCACGTTTTACCCTTTGGGTACGGAACCCTTAAAATTAATTTTTCACCGATTCCTCCCAAAGATGATTCATTCACGAGGCTATTTATGAACTTAGCTGCAAGCGTGCCAGCAATGCCAAATAAAGTTATGTATCATCCTGCGAAGACCAAGTCAAAATAGAGAGTCTAAAAGCTGACGATCCGAACTAACTAGGCGTTAGGACGTAAAACACCCCAATCTGTTCTGTGACAATGAATGACGTTAATTATTTGAAACGTTGAGAATCCAAAAGGTTTAAAATCTGCGAGTAAATTGTATTCAACAATGTAAAGAGTTCCTTAAGATAAATCACTAAACTTGTTAGTTTGTAAAATACTGTTTTGCCATCCAGAAAAAAACAAGAGTAAGATAAATAAACAAATGGCTATTTCTGCTATCTTTTAGGCAACAATAGCTATTATTTCCACAAGAATCGTTTCAGCAAACATTAATATGCACAATAATACCAAACTCAATTCAAAGAGACCCGTTTGACATACACGAATCGTTTCGTCACTTCAAACCTTCAAAATATGCAACGTACGCGTTACAATATCCTCAAAAACCTTGCTTGTAATACCCATGAAGAGACCTTTTGCACGTAAACAATAAAACCGAAATAAGTAAGCTTGAAACGTTTTAAAAGAGCAATCGCCTCCCACGGTTCCAACAGTATTAAGTATGGCGGGCACGCTTTGCTCGTTAACGCTGATAATTTCCGCAGTTTATGTTGCCCTGGTACTATGTAACGAGAATAGTACCGCGCACCCGGCGATGCCGCACCATTTGTCTTCGCTAGATGTAAACCCTTCTGGGGTGAGTACGGCCTTTCAAAAATAAGCGTATAACAAATGATTTAAAGCAATATAATAATTAATTGATTAAATTAAATTTTAAGTTAAACATTTGGTATCACTTTTGCATTAGCCACTCAGGTCAGTTACTGACTAAAGACCGTTAATATTTTTTTTTTTTTGATAAAAACAATAGAATTTTATTCCATAGGAATAAAACATAAATATTTAAACATCGCCATACATATTGGTTATCAACTGCTGGTCAGTTTTCAAGTAAAACAAAACTATACTATATTTAAATGTTTATTCTACTTTTATTTTCGTTTTAGGCTATTGCAAGTTTCCTCAAAATGCTCGTAGACGTGCCATTGGCATTAGTAGAAGCCTTCAGGGATGTAAGTTATAAAGTTGCACTCATTTGTTTGTAAAACGTCAAACTTACTTAAAACTGCATACATTTTGTAATTGATAATTTATTTTCAGGGCGCCGAAGGCATTGAGAAAGTTGTTCTCGGATCGCTTCGTACATTTTTTCGTTAAAGTTTGATTGCGGGGAAACAATTAACAGGGAAACGAATAATAAATGGAATGGAAATTATAATTATCTCGTTTTACTATTTTCACGAATCGTTACAGTTGTCAGTGTCCGGACGCTCGTTTTTAAGTCCCGATGCAAGTCCCGGTGCCGACACCAATGAAGTTGATAATGACAATTTTAAGTGCTGACTTACATTAAAGACTGTAGGTTGCTTGGCCAACATAAAATAGTGAGGATAGCGTAAACAACTTTATATAGTAATTAGGCTATTTCTTACTTATCAGGATAGAGTAACATCTTTTACAAAGGATAAGAGAGTTCTCTAACACTTTTGGGCTTGATGAGCCACTGTTGGCCTTAGAGGCCTTTACAGATCCGACGGACTTGAGGTGGCCTGGCGCACGGGGCGCCTAGCCTAAACCTCGGCGTATTATTATTACGCGTTATGGTGACTAAGCTCGAGGGCTCCCGAGGGAGCCTCGGCTCGGGCCGTCACGCTATTATTATCACCGGTTTGGGAGGCCGCCGAGCTCTTAGGGCGCTTTGGCGGGCGCTCCATGGAGTGACTAGGCTAAAGAGCCCCCGAGAGGGGACCACGGCTTGTCACTCAATAGGCGTTTAGCAATCCGATTCGAGGGTGCCCGAGAGGGCCGGACCTCGGCTCGATCGGTAGCTATTATCTTACTGAACTCTATAACACTGAAACCTTATTCACTTATATACAAAAATAAATGAATCATTACAACTACACTTCAAATACACTCATAAAATTACTAATACAGTTAATCAGATCGGCTTATTAAATTGTAAATTATCATTAAACACGATTTATTTTATAATATTACTAGCTGACCCGGCAAACGTTTTTTTGCCATATAAATTATTTATAGGGTAGAAAAAAATGTTTGGGGTGGACCAACCTTAACATTTAGGGGGATGAAAAATAAATGTTGTCTGATTCTCCCTGGCCGATGATATGCACACAAAATTTCACGAAAATCGGTCGAGCCGTTTCGGAGGAGTTTAATTACAAACACCGTTACACGAGACTTTTTATATATTAGATACCAGATATGTTTATGTTTAATGTTTAGGTATAATTGTTATTATTACTCGTACATTAAGCAGTGTTACCAGTGAAATTTAACACTTATCAACGTGCTCAGCGGTGAAGGGAACATCGTGAAGTAACCTGCGTATTTTCTCGATCCACAAAACGCCAGTATCTTCAAAGAAGAATTCGAAGTGTTCGAGATGTATTCAGCTTTTAATTTTCAACCGCTTTTCTAACATCCTCGCTGCCAGTCTAGTTTTACGGATGTCTACGGGCGTGATAAATTACTATCACGTGACTCGCTTGCTCGTAACCACCTCGTTAAGGAATTGGCATGAAGCAGTAATAGTTTGCGGACAAATTTCTACACAACGTCCTCTCGTCCCAAACTAAGCAACGCTTGTCCTATCGCTACTAGAAAACTTATATATAAACGCTTTCCTTTTGTAAATAAATACATTTATAAACACCCAGACACTGGAAAATACATATTTTTTCAGTAGTGGCGATCGAACCCACACTCTCTGGCGTAATAGTGAACCTATTCCACCACCTACTCCATTACCTCATTTCGAAACGGTGGTAAATTCAAAGAAAATATATGACTATCGATAGATGAAATTAGTTTATAAGTTTCTTATGTCGATGCATAAATGATTTTGATTTTGACTCCACCCTACATCAATCGAGTGATGACGCCATTATGCACATACACATACCGCAGTTCCTAGCAGGGGCGAACTTACTAACATATGCAACTTGTTAATCTAACACAGTGTCTCTCAAACTTTTTGGTGTATCGCCCACTTTAGGAAAAATTTAATACCCAATAAATTAGCCCCCCAGAAATTCTTCATATAATTTTTTACAGAAATATGTAGATTGAGGATTTTCAACGTACCTTTATTCCTACTCTCCATGCCTAACAAATTTTTATATAGCGATCCCAATATTAAATTGACTCAAGCCCACTACGATACCGCCCACTTTGAGAACCATTTATCTAACATATGCAGATAGCAGTACAACGTAGTTCAATTCATTTAATATATTATATAACTATTTTGCGACCGAAAAACGGATTAGTTGGTGGAGTAAAAAAACAAATAATATGTGTAATATCACATTTATTATTAAATTTACTGAGTTTATAATGTATGGCGTTATTCATTGTACAACAAAAATATATTTCGACCCATCAAAAACAATAACAAATATATAACATTTAGGTAAGACAAGCACAATAAGTTTACACAAAATACAACAGTATACGTAAATATCCAGTTGTGTTTACAACGTTATATTATGCTATTCATCTCTTAAAAATATTTTCTTAAAATACATTCATTGTTTTCATGCAATCATTTGGGATCTGTTTATTATACAAACTAGGTAAAATATAAATTAAAATTAATTAAATTATGAATAATAAACTTGAATATCAAGTTCATACTGCGACGTATTTTCTTTTTTGGATTACGCAAAACAAAGCCTCCGATCTGTTCATGAACTTAAAATTTCACCGAACAAATACAATTTAATATAATTATTATATAATTTTAATGTTCAATCTTAAGTGCAAAGATTAGCACTATAAACAATTTAAATTTACAATTTAATATAGGTAAAAATACCTACTAATTTAGTTGCGCGCGTTGAACCCGAATAAAAGAAATAAATATATTTTGTTTGAAGTAACTAACTTACTTGTTACTAATCAATAAAGGGGACATGGCCGACAACAAAATCAGGGTGGGGCTCGTTTAAGCTAAAATAAGAGGAATAAAAACTAAGATAAATCTAAATTTCATCACCGTTCAATCTTACAATAGAATATCACATCTCTGCAACGACGTAAACACATCAACGAAAGCAATAATGTTTGGCAAGGAAGTATAACCTAAATGGTAAAAGTTCGAAAAAGATAAATGAAACGGATAAAGAATCAGAGGAAAATGAGGAAGTTACTTAGAAAATACAGCGAGATTATATCGAAGAAGTAATAAATATTAAGGACACATTTTTACACAACGCGTAGTAACGCTTGCACTATGGGTGCTAGATAACTGATAAACGTACGTAAGCATACTTTTCTTTTGTAAATAAATACATATTATACATATACAAACACACAGACACTGGAAAAACACCATGTTCATCACACGATATTTTTCCCGTAGTGGGGATCACACACGCTCTGACGCAAGTGGGGCACTGCCCACTACGCCAAGTCGTCGGATGAAAAGAAATTAATGAAAGGTGAAATCGCAGAGATAAATACAAGACGAGCGCCTATTTAAAGACTGAAATAAATCATTTAATATTCAGGCTCAACCCACACGCTCTGAAGGGCAACCAGAGGGGCATGACCCACTGCGTTAATCGGGTCGTCCGATGAAGAGAAATTAATGAAAGGAAATCGCAGAGATCAATACAAGACAAACGCTGAAGACACTGAAACAAACAAATCCATTAATGCTGTCAACAAAACGTTTATTTGACTAGACCGTTGGGTAGGGCGACGTTCGCGTAGCTCGGGGATTTCCCGTCCACGTCGAACGTTATGTAAGTGGGGTTGGTGACGGCGCCGTTCCGCGCGGTCTTCTGGGCTCCGCTCGTGGTCTTCTCGTCGCTCTCGAAGACCTCGTCCGCCTCCTCTATGCGGGGGCACATGTTGAGGTAGGGCGAGTCGTGGTCCGACTCGGAGCCGCCCGCGGGCAGGCTGCCCAGCGTCAGCATGGGCGTCAGCTCGTGGCCGCCCTCGTCGAAGTCGAACTTGGCGCCGCGCGGGCTGAACGCGCCCTGGTGGGCCGGGCTCATCTGCAGGTAGCCCTCGTCGTCTGCGAATTCGTTTTCGCGTGAGCTCAGCTCGTGTTAAAGTGTTAACAAGTGATAACCGCCCATCGAGATTCGCAACGTCAGATGTAGGGATACAAATGCTTACCCAACTAATATAGTGGACAATATACTGGGCTCCTAACATTACACATTACGTGAGGCGGCGAGCGGGGTCCATCCGACCGCCCGTCCAACCGCCCGTCGACGTTTGCAACACCCGTTGAGTTGCAGATGCGTTGCTACCTTTTAATAAAGTGGGCCCCGGCTACGTCACTGACAAGACGAAACGCGGAAGTGTCCAGTTCCACTTAAGGCCGGCCTTCTGTGAGGTGGTACTTCCCCGGAGGGACCTGCCCATTCGTGCAACAGAAGACTGCTGCGTGACCCTACCATAATTTTCCAGCATAAAACAATACTTAGGGCAGGGCCTTTGTGACTTGAAAGGATTGTTCGCAGCCTTTTTAAATATTACGAGTAAATAGATAGTTACACAGGTTCACCTGACGTTAAGTGTCAATCGCCGCCGATGCACAATTGGTAAGGTGAGAGTAAGGTAGCGTTTTATAGAACAAGTAGAATATAATTTAAGAAAGTAAAAAACCCGACTGTGTTTATGTTGTAATTTTTAATTTTGTCATACCTAGTGTCACTCTCACAGCAAATAGGAATCTAACGATACCTCTTAAGCTAAAATCCATCAAGCCATTCAGGCTGCAGAGCGTGCCAAACAATTATACATATATATATACATACTCTCGAAAAACATAACCCTCCTTTAGGCGCAGTCGGGTAAAAAGTTTTATTAAAGTGGAATGGGACGGAGCGTAAGCTACTTGAACGCTGTTTGCGACTCGAGCGGTCTAAAGTTCGTCCGAGGTACGCCTCGATACGTGTATAGGACGCGATTGTTCAGAAGTTCGTGGAAGTCGGGGGATTATCTGAAGTTCGTCCAGGTCCGATATACTATACTGTACTAAGAATCGTGTACAGCACTTGGATACTGGCATATTTCATGTTATAAAGAGCGAAGGAAAGCTGAAAAATAAACTGTTAAAATCACAAATCTACCACGATGGAAGACAACAAACAACATCGATTTAGTGAAAAGGAGGTAAACATCGAGAAAAAACAAAGATTCAATAAGATAGCGTTATGTTTTACGATATACAAAAATGTCTAACACTACTGTAGCATTATCAATGTAATTAATTAAACAAGAATATTTGTTAGTCATAGTAATTACTCCATGCTTTGAATTTTTCTGTTTTCATACCGATTAATTGTTCGAATCGTTGGATCGGATCGGGGTGATTTCCATTTCATCTGATGAAAAGAAAACTCGACTTAAACGTGTTCTCAAAAAAGAATATTAACATGGGTGTTGAAAGAGTATGTAAAGTATTATATAAATGGTTCTGTTGAATAAAATTATCAATATTTTCAAATATTTCACATAGGTAAATATCAATTATTGCTTATTTTATTGTTGAGTTTTACTATTTGATGGAAAAATCAGATCTTTATTTCTTTTGGTCATATGCTCTTTACTTTATTTGCGTTCACTGTCTTTAGTATAATTTCGCTTTAAGCAGTTATTTTTATAATCTTTACTACTAAGAAGTTGATTAATAACACGTTTTTATTAATTTGTTTTATATTTTGCTTGTCTGTTAGTAATGGCTTCGTACGGAACCTCTTCTCTTTCTCTCTTTCTCCTGTCCCTATCTAACCTAGGTGGGGAGGCAGGGTAGGTCTTTTATCTACGACCGGCCACCTGCCTAATCAACCCTCCTAGGGAATAAATTCCCATAACCGGAACAATTAATTATCTGTGGTCACACAAATACTTGTCCTCTGTTGGAACCGGACCCAAACCCCCGGCGCTGGAATCAATAGCTTAGCAACTGCACCAATAAGTCATATGAAACTTCTTAGGGAACGTGTTGTTGTGTATCCTTAATATTTTATCCTTACTAATATTATAAACGTGAAAATTTGTATGATGTATGTTTGTTATTCTTTCACACAAACACTACTGAATGTATTTTAATGAAACTACAATAATATAGCTAATACATCAGAATAACACATATGCTATAATAAATAAAGATATTATGTGAATTGTCTAAAATATAACGATAACTGTTAAGTATGTAGGAAAAAATTCTGTCATCTGCGAGCTATTCTGGTGTGTAATAAAAAACTCATTGTTAATTCCCTTTGACCACGCGGGCGAAGCCGGGTTTATCGGGTAGTATTTAATGATAATAATATTTCCGACTCCGTGGCGTAGTTGCAAAGGCATTGAATTCGACGCCGGATATCGTGGGTTCGATCAACACACAGAACAACTGTTTGTGTGATCTACAGATAATTGTTTCGAATCTGGGTATTAGTCGACGCGAAAATGTTACATAAAACGATCTTACACCACTGGATAATGGTATCCTACAGGTTCTAAGGGCAATGTTTTTCTAAAAAAAAGAATAACTAAGTTACACGCTACTTTCATACTCCGTAGTACATTCAAATATTTTGTTATTGAATTAAATAAGAGTAAATAAATAACTAAATAAATAATTTCATTTATTTCCTCGACATTATAGTGCCTATCTGTGCCGATATTAAATAAATAATAAATAAATAAATATTTTAGGACACATTCTTTTTACACAACGTTCTCTAGTCCCAAACTAAGCAACGCTTGTACTATGGGTACTAGAAAACTGTTAGACATACTTAAACATACTTTTCTTTTGTAAATAAATACATATTACAGCTTTGAATGTTTACCGTGCTGCAATTGCGTGGGTGTGGGCGGGAAGAAGCTTCTCGTGTCGTTCACGTAGATGTGGGGGCTCGGCGTGACCAAATTGTTGTAATCCGGCGCGCACACCATCGCCAAATAGTCCTCTTGTCCTTCGGCCTTGACGTTCATGTCGACGTACGCGGAGTTAAGGTCGACGTAGTGCTGCAACGGACAAGATGGCTTTCAATATCAATAGGAATGATGTGACGTTAATTAAGTATTATGTGCGATAAAAAGATAATTTTCAATATCAATAGGAATAATTATGTGTCGTTATTTAACTATGTGTGATCAATAAAGGCCCATTTACACGTTGCCATTTTCTTGTACATACAAGAGCAATAATTGAATGCAATAAATTGCGCGCAATAATTTGTTAGACCATTTGTTGTTTAGACCATGCAACACATTTATTGCTTCAATTTAATTGTATACAACAGGCAAGAAACTTGCACCGTGTAAATGGGTCTTAAAACTGGCTTCGGAAACCTGATGAGACGAAAATGTTTTATATTTATATTTTTGTAAATGTTTTATCCCTACCTACAGTGTCATCGAGGGTCATGATAAAGTTGATGATAATAATACTATGCTCTAGATGGAAGTCACAATTTGATTAGATTAAAAATTCGTTCACTGCTTCTCTGAGTTTCGTTCAGTGAGTAAATGTATTGTATTACTATAGTTTTCTATTAATTTATTTTTGAACAGAATTTTGGATTTCATCTAATTTTAAATATCATTTTAATTTAATATAATAGTAGACGTATTACAATAGTTTTTTATTAATTTATTTTTTAACATTTTTTGGAATGAAGATTTAGTGGAAAAAATGAACATTTTCTAAGAATGTTTTATTTATATCATTCAATATAAATTCTCGGCAATCAATTAATAATTAATTAATCAATTAATTCTTATAAAGGGACGCCTGAGATTTTCTCAACATGATCTCTAGCATCTAGCGCTAATTCAACAGATTTCCGTCCAGTGCCTCAGCGTTGCATCACAAACTGTTTATTTAATAATATTTTTAACGGTGGTAGGGCCACGCGGCCTAGTCTGTTGCACGAATGGGCAGGCCCGTCCGGGTAAGTACCACGACCTCACAGAAGAACGACGTAAAGTAGAAGTATAATACTTTCGCGTTTCGTCTGGTGAGTGAGGTGGCCGGAGCCCAATTTCCAAAAGGTTGTTAACGCATCTGCAACCCCCCGGTGTAACAGATGTCTATATGCGGCGGTATTCACTTAACATCAGGCGAACCGGCAGCCCGCTTGACAACTTTTCACATGAAAAAAATCCATATAGCATAGAAAAATCTGTTGCGTGGCCGTAACACAGTAAAAGATGAAAAGATATGTAAGACCTATAGCTATCTTTAGAACAGATAAATGATCAAATATTACTAGGCTTCTGTATACTGGAACTAATACTCACGTTCCGAACGTTGTCCTCGAGGAATTCGCCGAGTATCTCCTGGAGCTGGGTGAATGAGGGACGTGCAGTGGGCTTCTGCGCCCAGCAACGGAGCATTACGTCGTAAAGCCGGTCATCCGCATACGTGGGCTTCTCTAGTCGGTGCCTGTGGAATATTTCAAACGTGCAAGGTAAATTGAATGAATGAATGAATATTTATTTAGTTTGAACAACAAACACAGTTGTTAACAATTAAAAGAATATATATCTAAGACACGAGACATGTAAATAACAAACTAGCTAAGATTAACGCAAAATTAATTGGCCTGTTTACGGTTGCGTACCCAAAGGGTAAAACGCGACCCTGTTACTAAGACTCCGCTGCCTCTCTGTCTGTCACGAGGCTGTAACTAATGAACCGTGATAGTAAGACGGAGGAAATTTTCACAGATAATGTATTTGCCGATATAACGAAAAATATTAAAAAACAGAAGAAGAAAGAAATATTTATGTGGGGCTCCCATGCGACAGACATGATTTTTGCCTTTTTGCGTTTCTATAGTTGTAGTTAGGTGAATCCACCGTAACAAAAAACTTAACAACGAGAAAGGACTACGCGATCAGTCCTTTCACGTCACCAAAGCCGGTCCATTAATAATATCGCTTTGACGCTTTTCATATTCATTTTTTCATTTTTTTTTTAAATATTGCCCTTACTTTAGGATAACATTATCCTATGTTGTAGGGACGTTTTACAAACATACATTTCACGCGGACAATTCATACATCACAATACAAAAAAAATGAATTCAAAATACGTATTAAAACATGTAGAAAAAGTATGAAAAGATTGGCGGCGCTGTGGGAATCGAACCCACGTCTTCGGCATTCGCGGCCTGACGCTCTAGCCACTGAGCTAAACGGCTGATAGCCACAGCGACGAAAATCTTAACGCCCTCCTTCTACATTGTTATTTAGCATTTCAAGTAATGCTTGGCGCATCTCTTGTTATGCTAAACGTAAACGAAGACGTGGGTTCGATTCCCACAGCGGCGCCAATCTTTTCGTAGTTTTTCTACATGTTTTAATGTTCAATCTTAAGTGCAGAGATTAGCACTATAAACAACTTTAAAATCAAAATACTTAATCATAAGAATGCGCTAAATTGTAAATATGTAAATTGTACGTAATTATAAAATGCTTGTCGTACATGACAAAAAAAATCGAAACACCAGTACACGTAATTACACGAAGGCCAAGCCCAACCCACCCCTCGGAGAGCCACTGCAGTAGACTCGGCGGGCTGACGTTCGGGTAGGGGGTCTTCGCCAGCGAGAACAGCTCCCACAGCACGATGCCGAACGACCACACGTCCGACTGCGTCGAGAATATCCGATCCGTCATGCACTCTATCGCCAGCCATTTCACCGGCAGCGGGCTCTGCAACGGAATAGAGCGGAGCGCACGTTGCACTCAATTGGTGACACTCGAAACTCAACCCAGCAAAAATCGATTCGGTTCAATTGCAAATACTCGAAACTCAACCCAGCAAAAATCGATTCGGTACATTTGCAAATACTCGAAACTCAACCCAGCAAAAATCGATTCTGTTCAATTGTAAATACTCGAAACTCAACCGAGCAAAAGTAAGATCGGCGCAAATGCAAATCCCGGTGTGACCTATGAGGACTATGCCCTAACACCCTCTGTGCAGAGGAGGCCTTTGCCGAGCTTATTTTTTACTTAATAATATAAATAAAATGACAAAGTTCTGACGAACTAGTGAATAGATTTAAATTAATTCTTCAAGTTTTATTTATTAGGCACTTGGCCCTTAACTAAAAGAATTTCCTTATAGCTTCATTTAATATAAAGTTATTTAAGTTATATTCATATTCATACACATTTATATTCTTATAAGCAAAAGGTGTTCCTAGAATCATCACTGAACACGGACCGTTTCTTGCCGTAAAGAAGTGGCACAAGCAGTTAAAAAAAAACAAGCAAGGCAGCCGAAACGACGGGTATCAGCTAGTTAAAATAAGTTAACATTGATATTACGCAGCACAAAACGTTTATGAAGTATATTCGTATTTTGCAATGTGTATAACAAAGGATATAGGAACTTAAATTGCTTATAAAACACTTACTACAATAAAAGTATTTAAAAATGAAGTATTTATAGTTTAATGATGTCACTGTCACAAGAGAAGTCTAATGACAGCTAGTTAATGGAAATCTTAGCTTTAGAGCATTTCTAACAACTAGATTGATTAGTAAATAGATACACTTCAGAGTACAGAAACTTCTTGTTTTGTCTTATCTTTTAGTAAAAGCGTACAGCTTAAGTATATATTAAACTATAATAACAAACTAATGTAATACTTCCAATCTTGAGTTGGGCGATATTATAAGTAAATAATAACCTCTACCATAAGTAGTTAGCAACTAAAACACTTGTTGCAGTGTCTGCCAACGCGCACATTAAAATATTTCGTATAAAATTGTTATACATAGTTGTATTTTAAACAAATAATAAAGGGCGATAAATCCCATTACATTTTCCTTCTTTTGATACTCGTCGTTCTTGTAAATACTCCTCGCCAGCCCGAAGTCACATATTTTCACTATGTTGTCCTCTGCCAGCAGCACGTTCCTCGCAGCCAAGTCTCCGTGCAGGACCTGACAAATAGAAAATCGCAAATTTTTTAGACTGATTATCTTTTACACGTGTACTAATACTACAAAACTACTAGTCGGTCATAGCTCAGTGAGACTAGTGATCACCTGACACCCGCAGAGTCGCATATGCCTTACCGTCTTAAAGTGGGCCCTGGTGGTAACGACTATGTATGTATTTTATGTATGTATGTATGTATTTTTATGTATTTTTTTACGTATATAACGGCCCATAATGCTGTACATTTCTCCTTAATGCTGTATGCAATTACGTATATAAGGTACCGTAATGCTGTAAGGTGCACTTTACCTTTCTGCTGGCGAGGTACTCCATCCCCCGGGCGATTTGGAAGGCCCACGCCAGGAGATCCCTGGAGAAGAGCGGCCTTGGCGCTCGCCCATCGCTGTAGTCGTTCTCGTAGTTTGATCGCCACTCGGGTTGGACATAGCCCGTCTCCGACACTGTAACATCGTTTATAACTTTCAATCTAAGCACAACATTTAGATTCTAGTGCTAGTCTCTGCGCTTAAGATGAGTCTTTGTAAAACCAGCCAAGTGCAAGTCGGACTCGCGCACGAAGGGTTCCGTACTATTATCTATAGAACAGCAAAAAAAATCATGTTGTTGTATGGGAGCCCCACTTAAATATTTTTTTGTTATAGCGACAACAAATACATCATCTGAGAAAATTTCAAGTGTCTAACTATCACGGTGCATGAGATACAGCCTGGTGACAGACGGTCAGACGGACAAACAGATAGACAAACAGCGGAGTCTTAGTAATAGGGTCCCGTTTAACCCTCTGGGTACGGAACACTAAAAACGTGCAAATAAAGCTTGGCAGGTACGAATCCCGGGGAAAAATTTGCGACAGTTTTATCTAACGTCCCTAACTTAACAGATAAATTGAGGAAGACTCGAACCTTCTCTAGTCAACTGAGCCAAGCGACTAATATCCGGCGCAAAGATTGTTTGGAATTTGATGATTATTTATATTTGTATATTATTTTTTATACACATGGTTAAAAACGTTTTAACCTTCCAATCACACTGTCAAAACTCCTATATACTTTTATTACACAATAATGTCATTTTATCTGATTTTCTATTAATATTATATTCCTTACCTTTCCTTCCCGATCTATTTGTGTTCCCCGTGTTGAGGAAAGTGTGATCGGTCTCCTGTGTATGATTTGAGCTGAAGTAGTCTGAATGCATCCTGTAATTATAAACATGCATTTATTTTACTTGTTAGAATAGAATATGCACAAGATCTATATACGAAATTAACAAAATTAACAATTTTTCTGCAAATTAAGTATCATCTTAAGTTTTTTTTTTTTTCTAAAAAAAATGGAAACGGGACTGGCGGTTCACCTGATTTTAAGTGATAACCGCCATCCATTGGCATTCGTAACGCCCGTAGGGTCGCAGATGTGTTGCCCTTATAATTAAGCTACCCGGCTACCTCACTCACCAGACGAAACGCAGAGTGTAACACTTCTAATTCGCGCCAGTCTTCTGTGAGGTCGCGGTACTTCCCCGGACGGACCTCCCATTGATGCAACAACCAAAACTACTGCGTGGTCCACAGCATATTTATTACCTATCTAGTACAAGCGTTGCCATCTTCATTCTTCGTTTGGGTCTAGAAAACGTGTAAAAATGTGTCATAAAATATTTTAAAATTTAAAATAAGTGCATAGATTCATATTAAACTATAAAAGTATTGTGTATAACACTTGTACGTTATAGGAGACCTTTTGGGCAGTAGCTGAAAAGATAATGATGGAGACAACAACAAATATTTCGAATATTTACGTACCTAAAAAATCCGCAACGGGACCTCACGGCGGACTTAACTCTAATAATATACGTTGTACACTTTAAAATTAACTTATTCATTACTTTTAAAAAAATATTTTTTTTTAATACAACCTTCAAAAGATTTGCGTAAGCTTTACTGAGCTTTTCATTAAACGTTTCATTTACAAATTGACGATTAAACAGTGACGATTTTGGCTGAACAACGATGAAAAGGAAGCGATATAAAATAGATATCACTTACGCACTACTCCCGCTGCTGTTCAAGAAGCCTTTGTTTACTTTGCCGAGATTCTTCTCCTTGTTGTCTGTGAGCTGGTCTATGAATACCTCGCGATGCTTCTGCAGGTAGTTGTGGATGTTGCCAAACTTGCAGTACTCCACGATGACAATCAATTCGCCTGAAAGAGTTAAAAGTAATAAATAGAATAAAATGCCATTTATTTCCGCGTTATATACCGTTCCGTTATTATATAAAATTAATATTTTAACAGAGTTTTACAGAATATAAGTGATTTATAGATTTCGATTTTTTTGGTAATTATTTATATAAAAAATATCATAATATTAATGTATAAATGAGTTTAATATTAAATTTCAAAGAAAAAGTTGAATTTCATTAAAATATTATTAATGAATTACATTAATACAGTTAAAATACATAGTGTTTTTAATGTTTCATTCTATTTCGGTGCTTACAACTTCGTTAAATGTCTCTCTCACAACTTTTATTATCGTTCATTCGCATCAGAAAACTGTAGAGTAAAAATGAAAATTACATATTTTATTTACAAAAAACAAAACCGTTAAATATTTTATTCATTGGACATAGGAAGTGTCCTTTTCGATTTTGAAGAGTTCCCTAACGTAACTTCGAAAACCAATGGTTCAATTTCAATGATATAAAAATCATACTCCGTTGAAAATATAATAACAATAATAAATATTTAATCATACAAAACTGGCAAAAATAGACAATCAACAAAGGTCATTTTAACTAAAGAAAACAAAAGAACACACGTAAAATTAATATGAGAGAAAAAGAAAAACTATAATAGTCAACGAAAAAATAATAATATTTAAAGAAAATGGGAGCGATGCAATGCCGAGTCGTCAGCTGCTCAGCATAAGGATGATATAGGATGCAACCCCATTAGGATGACCAGCGCTGGTACTCGGCAGAAACCCGTGTTAGTGCTAACACGCCGATCTAAAAATCTCAAGGTAAACATAATATAGAATCTCGTTTCCAACAAAAAAATCAAACCGGTTTATAATTAATGACGGATTTCTGAGCGGACAAACATAAAAAATAAAACCCTAATTGAGAACCTAATCTCCTTTAAAGTCGGTTGAAAAAAAGATAAGTTGCCTTTTCATATATACATCATAAATCCTTGTTAAACTTCGTAAAAACCGGCCAAGTGCGAGTGAGATTCGTGCACGAAGGGTTCCGTACCATTACCTATAAAAACGGCAAATAAAGTCATGACTGTTGAATGGGAGCCCCACTTAAGTAATACATCTACATAAATACATCAACTGTGAAAATTTCAACTGTCTATCACGGTTCTTGGGCGGCGGTAATCACTTACCATCAGGTGAGCCTCCTGCTCGTTTGCCCCTTTTCTCCATAAAAAAAAAAAAAAAAAAAAAGATACAGCCTGGTGACAGACGGACGGACAGACAGACAACGGAGTCTTAGTAATAGGGTCCCGTTTTACCCTTTGGGTACGGAACCCTCAAAACGTTAGCATTTTCCTCCTGTCACGTCCAGGAATGAATTAAGGAAAGCGGTCGAAGTAGTAACTCCGATAGCGTTTAAACGCGGCGACACTTTGTGGAAAACAAAAGGCGATAGCGTGCACTTGTCGTTTGCTTATGGCAAATATTTACGACAGACGCGTATATGCAGAGAAGTGGAGCATCGTAATGTTTTCCAAATAGCTACATATGATGTAGCTATTCGAATTAGGTCTCGTTGTAATTGAAATGTAAGTGTAGTATTAATGTGTTTTATATTGCCATTAATGTTTTGTAATTGTAGCATTAAATTGAATGGTGTTTTTAGGGTTTCGTACACAAAGAGTGAAACGCTGTCTGTCTGTTTGTCCGTCCGTCTGTCACCAGGCTGTATCTCATGAACCGTGATGATAGTTAGAGATTGAAATATTCACAGATGATGTATTTCTGTTGCTGCTATAACAACAAATACTAAAAAATAGAATAAAAAGATTTTAAGTGGGGACTTCGATAAAACAGACATGATTTTTTTTGCCGTTTTTATAGATAAGGGTACGGAATCCTTCGCGCGCGAGTCCAACTCGCATTTGGCCGGTTTTTTATGTTTGTTACCTCAGAGCTGCGTTGTTTATAAATCGATAGCAAAAATTATTTTTTCATTGGCTTTGGTTGAGATATTAATTTCATTGAAACTGGACTCTGGAGATCCATCAGGGATCTCCTCAAAATCAAATAGAGAATGTGAAGTGAGTGAATGATATATGTATAATGATATTTGAAGCTGGTTATGTTTGTTAACTTTAAGTGCCCACTTGCTCAGCGGAGAAAGAAGACATCGTGAGGAAACCTGCATATTTTCGAAGTAATAACAAAAAAAAACGTTACGAACGTTCCGCACCTACCCATTAAAAGTAAAAAGTAAAGTAGCAGTCTACACATGTCCCCCTGGCAAAGGCCTCCTCTATACAGAGGGTATCAGGGCGTAGTCCACCACGCGGCCCCACTGCGACCCCATCTTGGAAATATTTTATTTATGTTATTATTTCTACTAAAAAAACACAACTTTTCACTTACGTTTCCCGACGTTCTTGGTGCAGGCGCCGAGTAGGTTCACGATGTTGACGTGCTTCCCCAAATGCACCATTATCTTCAGCTCCGTCGCCAGCGCCTTTATGTACATGTTGTCAGCCGTCTTCTTCACCATCTTGACCGCCACCTGGGTCGTCTCTTCGGCGTTTATTATGCCCCTGGCGTCAGCCTTGTACACCACGCCGAAAGCGCCGGCACCCAGTTGTTTCCCTGATCACAAAGATTGGAATTTAATTGTCACTAGCGACCCGCCCCGGCTTCGCACGGGTGCAATGTATTATGCATATAAACCTCCCTCTTGAATCACTCTATGTATTGAAAAATTGCATGAAGATCCGTTGCGTAGTTTTAAAGATCTCATACATAGGGAGAGACAGAAAGCGGGACGACTTTGTTTTATACTATGAAGTGATTGATATTTCATCAACAGTTCATCGATGTATTACCAACATAACAATTGAATTATTATAAATAGTATTGGATTATCAGTTTATCGATCTATTTATATTTACACAGAAAGTATGTCATATGATATTTCCATTCGAGTTAATTCCCCTTAATGAGGCATATTCTAACGACAACCAAATGCCTAATGCAGATAAGGGAGTAGATGAAATAAATGGAAAAAATAAAAAAAATACATGTATTTAAAGAAATAACAAGAACGATGCAGTCATTTCTTTCGTTATTTATATTATATACTACACAAATATTTTTAGAAAATCGACTTCCGAATTAAAAAATGCTTAGTATAGATTTCTTAAAAATCATTATCACAAAACACACGGAATAACACTCGTTTTTTCGTGTGAGAATCGAACCCACAACACGATGGGCAATGGCAGCTGGCAAGACGACAACCTAACCCGTTGGCCTACACAAGGTGTTCTTATACAAAAAAATAATATACATAAATATAAAAGTCAAAGAATTTAAACACTGAAAAAGAAAAACACTTTTAAGATACATTAAGGCAAGGTTGGTTAATGCTTTCGCTTCCTTTAATAAATCACCTGTGAACAGGCTTAGATAATAGTTCTTTTAGGTCAACGACACCAAAACAGAAGGCCTCATTGGGAAATATATGAAGAAATCTGTAGAACTTTATACTTGCAATACCTATAGAATACCTTAGGCCGAAAAAGCAATTGATTAATATTAATATAATAATAAAAGTATTTTAAATTATGTAATCAACAAATTTTACATTTTTTTAGAAAAGAATAGAATGTACTTCATTGAACACAAGAAACTACATTAAAAGAAAATACAGCCTTTTAAATTTTGTATATTAAACTAAAATATATTCGATTTATAGTGGTAAGTCTATTTATTTAGTTCTTATTAAACAAATTAGCAAGCAAACGGGTAGATAACTTTAGATGATTACGCGAAATGTTTATGGGCGGTATATAAGCCCGTACATAAAAAATGGAATTGCAGACTAGTTAAGAATCTAAGTAGGTTGGTGACTGAGGTAACCTAAGAAGGTTTAAGTATGGTGTTAAGTTACTGACGAAGTTATACATCAATTATTTATGTAAAATTCGACGTTTCATAACATCGCGCGAGCGTCTATTTGAATAAAGATATTTTGAATTTGAATTTATACACTCTACCTCTTTACAGGACGCCGCAGTTTCGTGTTCTCGTTTTTTAGGTCTATTATCAATCGCCAATGACACATGTAACATCTGGTCAAGTTAGTCATCGCGGCGATTCTCAACCACGCAACATTGTAAACATATTCGAGCGTGAAACAATACTTAGCAACCACAACAGCCGACGACCGTCTAGACGAGAACTCATAATACAATAGCACATACGGTATTCAGAGTTCGAACGCTCACCGTTAGCTATTCTTAGCGTGAAAACAAACCACGGTTTGGCACCAAGTGCTAGTGTGGAATTGAATAAAACCGTTATGATATCTATTTCTTGATTTAACGCGAATATTGTACATATTAAATATGACTAATTTAATATGACTTTAACTGTTTATGAAATAATTTCAGCGCGGGGCGTACACACAACACGTTAACACAACATCTAGTTCCAAACCAAGCATAGATTTCAGCATGGGTAATGGTAACTGATAAATGAAGTTAAACGTTTTGTAAATAAATACATATTATAGTTATAATATAAACACCCAGACACTAAAAATAAAAGAGATATAGATTACCTATCCACAACGCCAAACGAATCGTCAAAGTATAATACATTTCGTTTAACACATTTTTAGGCCTGTGTTCAACAGTGGACGTCTTGCGGCTAATAATGATGGTGAACATGATGGTGACAATGATAATAATGATGTTCAAACCTAAAAGGACACTATTAAAAGAGCAGAGTATAGCTTAGATGATAATAATGATGTTCAACACTAAAAGGAAATTATTAAAAGCGCAGAGTATAGCTTAAATGATAATAATGATGTTCAACACTAAAACGACACTATTAAAAGAGCAGAGTATAGCTTAGATGATAATAATGATGTTAACGCTGAAAGAACATTAATAAAAGAGCAGAGTATAGCTTACCCAAGACAAGCTTCTCCGGGGGAAATTCGAATCTTTCATCGTACGGCAACAACTCTGCTTGCTCGTCGATACCCAGTTCCGGATTGAGCGACTTCGCGACGCCCTCTTTGAAGTAGAGAAGACCGGCCGCAGCGAGCTCCTTCCTGAACTGCTTCTCCTTCCGTATCTTCCACGCAAGGTAAACAATCAGCAGCAGCAGAACGAAAACTATGCCGCCGATGACGCTCAGATACGCCGCCTTGTTGGTGGACTTCTCTGAAATGCGAATGAAGAGTTGGCACGTCGCTAAACGAAGCTACTCAACGGATTTTGTCGCGTTTGGTTTTAAACGTAGATGCCGGGTGAACTATTTCTTCGAAATGCAAAAATAACGATGGTTGCACGTTGCTAAATTAAACTGTTCAACAGATTTTGCCGCGTTTTGATGTAAACGTAGACGCCATTATTATGATCGCGTCTTATTTATTATTATTTATCTTTGTTATTTTCACATACCTAAAATAAATTTAAGCCTAAGCGCAACAATTTCAATCAACAGTGTGATTTGTTTAATTCCCGAGGTATTGCATACTTACTGTAAAGCGTCTAAGACTAGATCGGACAATGAATAAGAACTAAAGAAATAATCGCTAAAAGGTGTAACCGTAAAAATTTTCAGTACATGTTCCGGAATATAAATGCGATTAACTGTTCTATATGAGAATTTGAATACAAAATTGAACCGTAAAATAATTTTATTCAAGAGGAAAAATTTTATAATTTTAACGAGAGCAGTTGGCGAAAGATCAGGTGACCCAATGGATAACCTGTGCGCCAACGATGGACATTCACAACACAGGCGTTGATAAACTTTATAAGGGAATTCCCGGTTAACTTAAAAATTTTATACCTATTTTAAGTCTTATGTAACATCGTGCTACTCTCGCCGAGACATTTAATTCTACAACAAATGCTGTTACGTGGCTCTGGCATTAATGTATTATACGATTGAGATTATACTTTTTGAGCGATATTGAATGAAGAACTCTTCTACAACAAAATTTGGCGCTGGCAAATTGTGTTATTTAATTGAGATTGTACCTTTTAAAGCGATATTGAAGAACTGTTCTACAAAAAAATGTGGCTTTGTCAAATTTAATGTGTTATGTGATTGAGATTATACCTTTTAGAGCGATATTGAAGAATTCCCTCCTGATCTCGCCATTGCTGATGGCCACACACTCGTATTTGCCTTTGTTCTCTTCCAGCATCTGCTTTATCAAGACGGTCGAATTCACCTTAGTGTGCTCCAAAGGCTCCGTTAAGATTTCGGCGTTCGATTCGTTCACTAAAAGAAATCCATCCTGCAAGAACAGTCACATTCCGAACTTGTAAGAACACCTAATGTATTAAGTCCATCATTGTAAGCTATCGTGGAAAAAGATTTCAAGTAAATAAATAAACTTGCCAATGCGCTCTTAGTTCTTGTGAACACTTTGCCACAAATAATTATTTTACAGAAAATCTGATAGGTGGTTTGGCTTATTTTAATATAGTGGACACAGATGTAGCAAAAACGGGAACCACAAAGAAGTTCACAAACAAAATATACAAAATTTAAGGTAGAATAAGACCCTACTTATAATTTATTATACTAGAGAAGCCCAAGTTCAAATTGCGGTGCCGGCACCAATGAAATTGTTAATTTAAATTTGAAGCAATGACTTATCACATACTCAGCGGTTAAGGAAAGCATCGTAAGGAAATCTGCATATTTTCGAAATGATAAAACAAATCTGCCAATCCGCAGTGGGGTCGAGTGACGGACTATGTCTTGATACTGTACTCTTCTCTGTCCAGACCAGGCCTTTGCCCAGTATTGGGACATATATAGGCTTTACTTTTTTTTACTTTAGTTAGATCGCTACAAAGAAACAAACAAAACTGCCGTGTAGTCTATCACTTACCTTGAACCATTCGATGCGAGGCCGGGGAACAGCTTCCGCTTGACAGGTGAGTTGTAGCGGCTGATATGGATAAACCTCTTCGTTTTTTTCCTTAACAGGTTCAGTGATAACGGGCGGTCGGATGGCTAACAGGAAAGATCCTTGTAATTACTTAAATAATAAAAAATAAAGCACTCGCGTAAAACCCTAACGCGGTAGACGTTATTCCATAATTAGAGAACAATGAGTTTTGTTCAAAAACGAATGATAAGCGGCGAGAGATATCAAACAGTGATTTTCGCACGCGAGCAATCTTAACCTTGCCACTGTGAGTCTGACGTCTCAGCCTCAAGGTCATCGCTGTATTAATGAAACTACGAAAAAAATTTAAACCTCCCGTTGCGCCGATGACTTCATAGGTCTTTTCGACATGAAATAGTCAATTTTCGCAAGATAAAAGTATCCCGTAAACAATGCAGTGCTCACTTAACCCGATCCTTACCAAATTTAAATTCTATTCAAATTCCGAAAAAACAAATTTAACAAACTTTAGCGTCTATTAAGTGATAAAGAATGCGTTACCTGCTACAGTGATGGAGATAGATTGACTTTCTATAGAACCGTCGAATTTCACAGCGTAACAAGTGTAGTTTCCGGCCTGTTGTTGCACTATGTTGTCCATTTTTAGCTCCGCAATGTACGAGAACGGGCTCTCAGAAAATTCCACTGTAAAAGGGGCTCACAATGACACTCAATCATCTATAACATATTGCATGTGTGATTGGAATTAATTCTTTTTAAATGTACGATTTAACTTTAGCAACTTTTCAAACGCAACTATTAACTTTTAATACATATTAAGCGAGCCGTGATAGCTCAGTGTCCGGGCGCTCGCCTTTAATTCAATATACTCGAGCAACCTGAGATCCCCGGAGCCGGAACCAATGAAATTGTTAATTTTAAGTGCAGAATTATCTCGTGCTCGGCGGTGAAGGAAAACATTGTGAGGAGGACCTGCATACTTTCGAAATAATAACAAAAATGTAATAATATTTCGAAGGTATGTGAAGTCCGCCAATCCGCAGTGGGGCCGCGTGGTGGACTATGCCCTAATAACCGCTGTACAGAGGAGGCCTTTGCCCAGCAGTGGTACATGTATAGACTGATACTTAACTTTTTACTTTTTAACTTATTAAATGTAACTTTTGAGTTTTTTTTTTTTAAATGTAGTCACCGGAATCCAGCAACTCCTCGTCGTCAGTCCCCGCCCACGTCAAGTTTGCGAAGTCGTACTTCGAGGCGACACACGTCAGGACGATGTTCTGACGCTCATGGAACCACGTGACGTTGCTCCGCTTTATTCCGAAACCGCCGCGCATTTCGTGCACAAGGAACCTTCTGGACTCCGAATTGGAGCCGACCGCGTTCGACGCTTTGCAAGTGATTATTCCCGACACGTGCACCGGTATCGGCAGGTAGGACGTGGTCGTCTTCACGGTTGCCACATTGTTGTAGGACTGAAAGAGTTTTTGTGACCACTGTTGTTACTTTGTCATGAGCACGGCCTTAGTTGCGTAGTTGCTTAGTTTGTCCCAGAACTCAAAGTCAAGCCGAAACGGGGTGACAGGATTGATTATAACCATCATGAGAAAAATCAGAAAAAAAAATCTATCCCTTGCAGTTTGGAAATTATGGGCATTTAAGAAAAACCTAGAAATTTGGTCAAACTGTAACCATTTTTCGGTTATTGAGGTTAATTTTTATTTATTTTTCATTTAAGCTTTGGAACCGTAACCCTAAATAACATTTCTAGAACCACAGTCAAAAATAATGACACAACTGCCCCAAGTTTTCTAGAATTATGACTATTTGTTAAACTATGAAATTAAAATTTTCAAAATTTGTCGACTTTGAAAGGCCCTCCTTAAAAAGAAATGTACTAAAGTGCCTTGGCAAGTGCCATTCAAAGTTCGCGCATTTAATCAGGATTGTAAAATGGTACAATGCTTTTTAGTCCCATACTAAAAAAAAAAACTAGTAAAAAAATAAAAACCTCGAGTAACCCGAATTTTGCTAACCCATTTTACTCAGTTCAAATGTTTTTTTATTGATGTAAGAGATGGATAGAGGACATGTTTTCCATGAGCGACCGAGACAGATAGTCACGCCACTTTTACTAAAGTCAAGAAAAGTATGTAAAATTAATAAAATAATGAAAAATCTTGACCTTGTTTCGTGTAGGTTTATTGGAATAAAAGTCAGATAGAGAAATAACATTTTTTATTACAATAAATGTTCAAATTGTTTACCATCAGCCTCAATACACGCCCTACATCTTATTAAAAAAGATCTAGTTATTAGTCGGGCATATCCTCGAGAGTTGATGTCCTCAGCAGCTTGAGAAATTCGTTCACGCAGCTCGGCTACGCTGTCAATGGGCTTTGAATAAACTTTTTCTTTGAGAACTCCCCAATAAAAAAAAATTCAGGGGATTTAAATCTGGGGAACGGGCTGGCCATGAGATAGTGCCTGAACGTCCAATCCACCTTCCCGGATATTTTTGGTCAAGGAAATCTCTTACTTGCACTGCGTAATGCGCTGGGCAGCCATCTTGTTGATACCACATGTGGCGACGATCTGTTAGTGGTACGTCCTCTAACAAAGTTGGTAAATTTTAAAAAAAAATTAGGTAATTCGTTAATAGGTAATTCAAGTTCTCAGGCAGCTCAAAAGGCCCAACAATTTTGTCGTTTAAAATTCCGGTCCACAGGTTTACTTTAAAGCGATACTGGGATCTGTCTTCTCGCATTAAATGTGGATTCGCCACATGCCTCTCGTGAAAATTGTGTAAGTTTATGTAACCATCTTTTTTAAATGTAGATTCATCTGACCAGAGAATTTTTTGGATGAATTGGGGATTTTCATTATGCCTCTGTAGCATTGTTCTACAAAATGAAATCCTTTCACGATAATCTCGAGAAAGGAGACTTTGAACTCGTGGTACGTGAAACGGATGCATTTCGGCTCTTTGTAAACTACGATGTGATGTGCTTTTGGGTATTCTTCATTCGTTCGTTCTTTCTTCAATTCCACGAACGGAAACACTCGGGTCATCTGCGACCTCTTGCAACACTTCTTCCTCGTAAGGAAAGCGAGCTCTACCTCCAACCCGTATTTGATTCGGGAAATGGCCGCCCTCCGTGAGTGAACGGTACACATTAACAAACACGCGGTGATCCGGGTAGCGCTCTAAATTTGGATATCTTTCACGATAAAGTCTAGCGGCGGCACTTGCATTGGCCATTTCCCGATTTTTTTTTTTTTTTGGGCTGGATGAGCCACTGTTGGCCTAGGGGCCTTCACAGATCAATTTCCCGAATCAAATACGGGTTGGAGGTAGAGCTCGCTTTCCTTACGAGGAAGAAGTGTTGCAAGAGGTCGCAGATGACCCAAGTGTTTCCGTTCGTGGAATTGAAGAAAGAACGAACGAATGAAGAATACCCAAAAGCACATCACAAGTTTACAAAGAGCCGAAATGCATCCGTTTCAGACCACGCCAAAGTCTCTTTCTCGAGATTATCGTGAAAGGATTTCATTTTGTAGAACAATGCTACAGAGGCATAATGAAAATCCCCAATTCATCCAAAAAATTCTCTGGTCAGATGAATCTACATTTATTAAAAAGATGGTTACATAAACTTACACAATTTTCACGAGAGGCATGTGGCGAATCCACATTTAATGCGAGAAGACAGATCCCAGTATCGCTTTAAAGTAAACCTGTGGACCGGAATTTTAAACGGTAAAATTGTTGGGCCTTTTGAGCTGCCTGAGAACTTGAATGGCACGAATTACCTAATTTTTTTTGAAAATTTACCAACTTTGTTAGAGGACGTACCACTAACAGATCGTCGCCACATGTGGTATCAACAAGATGGCTGCCCAGCGCATTACGCAGTGCAAGTAAGAGATTTCCTTGACCAAAAATATCCGGGAAGGTGGATTGGACGTTCAGGCACTATCTCATGGCCAGCCCGTTCCCCAGATTTAAATCCCCTGAATTTTTTTTTATTGGGGAGTTCTCAAAGAAAAAGTTTATTCAAAGCCCATTGACAGCGTAGCCGAGTGCGTGAACGAATTTCTCAAGCTGCTGAGGACATCAACTCTCGAGGATATGCCCGACTAATAACTAGATCTTTTTTTTTTTAATAAGATGTAGGGCGTGTATTGAGGCTGATGGTAAACAATTTGAACATTTATTGTAATAAAAAATGTTATTTCTCTATCTGACTTTTATTCCAATAAACCTACACGAAACAAGGTCAAGATTTTTCATTATTTTATTAATTTTACATACTTTTCTTGACTTTAGTAAAAGTGGCGTGACTATCTGTCTCGGTCGCTCATGGAAAACATGTCCTCTATCCATCTCTCACATCAATAAAAAAACATTTGAACTGAGTAAAATGGGTTAGCAAAAATCGGGTTACTCGAGGTTTTTATTTTTTTACTAGTTTTTTTTTAGTATGGAACTAAAAAGCATTGTACCATTTTACAATCCTGATTAAATGCGCGAACTTTGAATGGCACTTGCCAAGGCACTTTAGTACATTTCTTTTTAAGGAGGGCCTTTCAAAGTCGACAAATTTTGAAAATTTTAATTTCATAGTTTAACAAATAGTCATAATTCTAGAAAACTTGGGGCAGTTGTGTCATTATTTTTGATAAACGGTTCCAAAGTTTAAATGAACAAAAATATAAAAATTAACCTCAATAACCGAAAAATGGTTACAGTTTGACCAAATTTCTAGGTTTTTCTTAAATGCCCATAATTTCCAAACTGCAAGGGATAGATTTTTTTTCTGATTTTTCTCATGATGGTTACAATCAATCCTGTCACCCCGTTTCGGCTCGACGTTGAGTTCTGGGACACCCTGTATATGTCCACCTTTATATGTCGTAATGGGAATTTATGGGAATTGAAAGTAATATGTAGATGTGCAGTTTGATAAAGAAATTATATTATAATGACGGTTGTATTTGAAACTTTTTTTGTGTTCTCCAATACCCCTTATAAAAGATGACCGCAACAAATTTACTGGCTGAACTGCAAAATCGTTAAGTTTGATATAAAGAAATATTTGGTAGGTATTTAGATTTTTTGCAATTTTAACCTCACCAGTCCTACTAAGAGACATGATTTTTTTTTGTTTTTATGTTTGTAATACTTCCTTTCAACACAGGATGATGTTATCCTAAAGAATTTGCTTTTACTTTAGGATAACATCATCCTGTGTTGAAAGGAAGTATTACAAACATAAATTTCACTTGGACAAACACCTAGATGCGAAACATCTGTCTAGAGATCACACAAATAGTTGTCCCGTGTGGAGATCGAACCCACGACTCCGAACGCCGAAGCCGATACCTTGGCAACTGCACCTCGGAGTCATAATTTTAATATTTTTTTTTGTTTTATGTGATAAGTTGCCAAACGAGCAGGCGGTTCACCTGATGGTAAGTGAATACCGCCACCTATGGACATCTGCTACACCCGAGGGTTACAGAGGCGTGGAAAACCTTTTGAAAATTGGGCTCCGGCTACCTCACTCACCAGACGAAACGCGAAAGTATTTGTCATACTTCCACTTTACGCTGGTCTTCTGTGAGGTCGTGGTACTCGCCCGGACGGGCCTGCCCATTCGTGCAACAGCCGAGGCTGCTGCGTGGCCCTACCACCGCATAATAGTTTGTACTTAACAAAATTTTTCAAAGGTAGTCTCATTATTCATCTAAATTTGAATTGTAATTATAACCTCTCATATAAATATGCAAATAGAATGAATAAAAAACGAGTTATAAAAAAAAACATTGAGTGCGATTCAGTGGACACGTGTTTTGTGATATACATATTGCATACAAGAAATGTTAAAACAATTTATAACTCACCACCAATGTTTGTTCTTCGCCTTTTTCGTTTGTGAATATCCATTCAATGGTCGGTGGCGGGTAACCAGTTGCCTTGCACTGTAGATTCGCAACTGTATTCTCTAAATACTTCCTATCAACGTCCGGTCCAAAATCAATAATCGGTGATGCTGTTTCGAAAATAAACACAATTTATACATGTTTCCCTTTTTTTTAACTGGACAAATAAATCGTAACCTAATCACGAATTACCTTTGACACGTAAATCAAACGTGACGTTTCTCGCTGTATACTTATTGGTCGCGACGAGGGTATAATTAGCCGTATCCTCCACCGTCAGATTCCTAATCGTCAAAGTGACGGTACCCGTGTCCGACCTACGTACGTCGTACTTGCTAGTCGGAGAGATTTCTTTGTCATCGCGAAAGCTGCAATTGTCCAATAAGATATAAATTAAGTAATGGCTAAAACTACGTATTATCTAATAAACCTAATCCACGCGGCATGGTGCCAAGAATGCTAGCTGCATTTCCTCGCTGCATAGTTATGCTTAACTTAGCGAGAGAAGAACCAGCTCTATTGTCACCTGCTGCGGCGTTAAGCCTAGGACACAAACTTAAAAAAAAATTAAAACGTAATTTTACACAGATTTAATCTTGTAAATATTAGATAGCTTTAACGACATCCGCTGAATTTATTATTAGGATGATCAGAACCTTCGGGGGCAAGTTTTATTACATGGTATCTCTTGTCAACAACGTAACTCTTATGGATTTTATTTAAATACCTCTTGTTTATCTATAACATAGTCTGTCCATTATATGATTTTCTGGATGTTAGATATTTGTTAATCTTCGATTCAGCTACAATGTTGTGGTAGGCCCACGCAACAGTCTTCGCTGTTGCACGAATGGGCAGGTCCGTCCGGGTAAGTACCACGGCCTCACAGAAGATCGGCATGAAGTGGGAGTCTAATGCTTTTTCGTTTCGTCTAGTGAGCGAGGTAGCCGGGGCCCACTTTATTACAAGGTGGCAACGCATCTACAACCCCACTTAACATCAGGTGAACCGCCAGCTCGTTTACCACCTTCTCATTTTAAAACAAAGACCCTGTACCTGCCATTCCTCAAAACACATTACATAAAAGCGAAAAAAAAAATGTTATTGGTTACTTCAATAATACAGTTTGTGTCAATAATATCTTTGCTCAATACTTACAACGCAATATTCGCCGGTGGATAATCTTCTATATAGGATACAAGCCGCATCAGCCTTTGACTCGTTTCGATTGGATTGCCTTTGCCTCCTTTTCGCAAATTTATAAAACCGCTGGCTAAAATTTAAATATTACTCTATTAATAACAAAATCAATCACCAATACTTGATCATAATATGATAAAGCAAGACTTGTAGAAATAAATAGAAATACCCGAATATGAATATGTTGAAATTGAGAAGAATGCGGCAAAAATTTTACATGTTGACCTAAGATCGTGCAGCAGTATTTGGAAGGCTCGTCGAGAGAAGTACCACAACCTCACAGAAGATGGGCGTGATGTAGAAATTTTACGAGTATGTCTCTGCGTTTAGTGGTAAGGCTACCATGGTCCACTTTATTAAAAGGATATGCAACCCTACGGGTGTTGCAAATGTCCATGGGCAGCAGGCCTACCGCCAGTTTGCCTACCACATTCTCACAAAAAAATATTGCTCAATTTTGTGGCGAACTTCTTTATATATTGGACATGGAAACATTTTAACGCTATATTACCGTTAAACTTCACTGCGTATCTTATTTCTTATTAATGAAACTTAGTCGACGTTGAATTCTGGTACGAATTGTCCATTTGCTACTAAGCCTCTGTTACTTCTCTCTATGTAATAAAGACAGCATTATTTAAGTAGCGTTCTTTATTATGTTGCCCAGAAGCTTGTCACCTTTTTATGGCGTTTAATGAAAACTACATAACATATTAAAACTTTAACATAAAATAGTCCACTTTATGCAGACAGACAACAACTTGTCAGTAAAATTTCCTTCGATGCCCTGAATTTTCCATTCCTAAGTAACATTAAAACGGGCCACAGGCGGCGGTACAATCTAAATTTAGATTATTTTACAATCGAATTGCATTCCTACACAGCGCCAATGGAGCTTACAGTCGCAAAATAATCATATTCGAAATGTATAGAATTTAAAGCAAGCATAATAATAATATACATAAACATATTAAAATATGTAGAAAAAGTGCTAAAAGATTGTCGCCGCTGTGGGAATCGAACCCACGTCTTCGGCATTCGGTTCCCACAGCGGCGACAATCTTTTCGCACTTTTTCTACATATTTTAATGTTCAATCTTAAGTGCAAAGATTAGCACTATAAACAATTTAAATACATAAACATATTTTAATCCATACATTTAGATTAAACATATATTTTTTATCATAAACCTATTAAAGTTAAATGAAAATAAGCAGAAAACTGATGATAAAAATCCCTGTGAGCAATAAAAATTTCCAGTGTATATTCCAACCAGATGTATGTACGAACTGACACTAAAAGTTGTTATTTATCCCATCTTATTTTAGAACATGAAATATTAAAAACGTTCAACACACGAAAAAAAATTAAGCCAATTATCAGCAAGCGTTGGCACATAAAGCGTAACATGAAAGCATAGGCATGTGTATTTCATTATTAATTACCTAAATGTTTCTTTTCAAAAGAGGCGGCGCTGTGTCCGTAGCTATTTTTCGATATGCACGTATACTCTCCGGCGTCTTTAGAAGTTGCATTAATTATCGTGATGTTATTGAACAAAATTCCACCAGTTGTCTCATTCTCATTCGTCTTGTTTATCACCTTTGGAGGGGAATTGTTCAAATTTAATATTCCGATGTACGTAACGCACATGGTAATATGTAGTTATCATGAACATAATGCAAGTACCTTGGACCCGTTGTTCGGAATCTTCCAGTTTAACGCCAAAGCGGAATTACTTTGGTACTTGACTGTACAGTTGAGCGAAAATATATCACCACTTAGAAAATATTCCGATCCACCAACTATTTTCGGATCGGGTGGTGGTATATTTGAATCTATAAAAAATAATTATATCTTTAAAATGATTCTACTCGGCATCAACAATCTATTTACCGCTATGTCTAAACATAAGAACCATTATATGATTTCGTATAAACAAAAAGACATACAAAGCAAACAAATATTGCACGTCTATACTAAAGGTGCACAAAAGTAACGTGCAATATTATTAAGAATTAATCAAAATAAAATGGGATCATCAATTTGAACTGATCATCTTGTTCGAATAGAAAATAAAAATTTTATAACAACTTTAACGTAATGAAAAGCAAATAACGTAAATTTGCCAACTGTTAAATTTATCTTGACTAGCTAGTCGTTTTACCGCTAGTCGAAATGAAACATAGAAATACTAGAGTTTGCCCAATTCCATCGTACTGTGATAAAATTACACAAAACGTTAAAGGAACAACATCTACAAATATAGCTACACATAATTATGTCAATAAAAAAAATTAGTGCAAATGGACAAACTCACGTCGGCATACATAAGTATTATTTGAAATATACATATATATTCATAACCGAATTAGGTGCAACCCAACATTCGCCACACATAATTCATATTGTTAGTATGTTAATTGTCATACAAATACATACAAGTGCACGGAAAGAGCGGCACACCGAAGAGGAAGTGAACAAGGGTAGTAAGTCACAAGCGGTAAGCTAAAAATAATATCAACTCGATTAAGGGTCCAAAACTGAATGAAACCATCACACCACGCTACCTCGTTATGTGACATCAATATTTCAGCACTATCTACTTACAGATACGTATTGTTTTCGTGGTATTTTCTCTTCCGTAGAGCCCCTCGCATTTGTAAGCGACCCTAATCGCTCTGACTAAAAATCCAATCTTTGGTGAGAACTTTATAAATTCTCGTGTCTTGTTACTCTGCAGCCGTATTACCAGATAAATAATGTGTTGTTAGTACGAGTAAATAGTTTTGTACCGATACGTCCGTTTCTTTTTTAAATCTCAGTTAATTTCATCTCTTCATTTCATTGTTTCTTATAGAAAACATGTTTACGGAAGTAGATAAAGTTAATTTGAAAGGACAAAATTTGAAAAACAAACGGACATAGCGAACCACATTCACGATGGGACCGAATTGGATAAAAAATTACGCATTACGTTTCGTGAGAAAATCTGATAGTTTTGAATGGGTTACGTCCTCGTGTATATGGTGAGTACATTATTATTAAAATTCACACATCGTCTAATCACCTACGTTTATGTACAAATATGTCTTTTCTTTCCGGCAATTCATCTCGCCTCATAAATTCACAGACCATAATGATTATCGGAAGATCCAAAATATCACTATCTAGGACGAAACCAATTTTAGGATCATATCTCTCATATTCAATGTCTGGATTGTCCTGAATATTAAGAACGTTGTTAAGAAACCAGTTGAAGCAATTAAACATTTGTATCCATGCTTTAGTGTAAAATTATTCATTTGCATCAAGCATTAGTTCAGTATTTCATTGCAAGCCATAAATGAGGCAAAGTTGATCTTGTCATGTAAGAAGCATTTGACCAATGATCTAATTCAGAGTGTTGTTATAGTTCCCAACAAACAAATTAAAAGAGCTAACTGTGACTCATTTGGCTAATGTTATCATTAGTTCGATAGAAATAAACATGCATTTACTTATAGGCAATGAAGTTGACTAATTATACATTGCCTGGCTAGCTTGTATTACAATTTTAATGTAATTATTGTAAAGCAATTAAGTTTTCTACTGATCGATCATTTAAGAGCTTGCGCCGCTGTATGTTATTGTTATAACATACAAATTTATTTCTGCCTGTAACATGAATGTTTCTACATTTTGCATACATACCCCCGTGAGTGTAACTTTTATGTCCGGTGTCGTAGGTCTACATTCAATTACGACCTTTGACCCGCTTCTGGCCTTTACGACCTCCCTCATGGGTGCAAACAAGGTATTCGTTCCTAAAATATACACAATTCATCAGATAAACGAGCCATACTAGTTTGTTTTGTTCTCGAATGTTCTCATTGTATAGGATTAGCCTCACCGTTAACGTAGATATAGAAGTAAGTGACGTGTTCGGTATCGTCCGGTTCCTCCATTAGATTGTTTAACAGATCGTCGCCATTTGCAGAGTTATCAAAACATGCGTAGTAACCGATTGCGAATTGATCGACGTTATACAGGCTCAATTCAGTTTGATATTTATATCTAGGATCCGACGAAGCTACCGTTGTTTGCGTTTTATTAAAGAGCGAATCGACAATCTCCTCCGGTATCTCTTGCTGTTTTATTTGCAACTCGTTGTTCCCTTTGCATATTAAAGTGAAATTTTGACCCTTTTGCAAGATTATTTCCTTTTTAGATGGAACGATGACCGGTCCATCCGTTTCGTAAACATCTGTAAAAATGACAATCGTCATCTACTTTGATACAATTCAATTATTTCTATTTGGTAACAGGATTATATTGGAACGTTTAAGTTGTAAAAGATTAAAAATCATTAACTACTGTTCTTAGGTACGTCTATTGTCTATTCCTTACAACAGTTGCCGTGCTACTAACAAGAAAAAACACGTCTTTTGCTAATTCATCGAAGGGAAATCGACACCGCGGTGTAGTCAATTATTTCGCGAAGGTGAACGTGTCGAAATTCAGTGTCGTCTGGCAATTACGCGAGAGAGAGGGTGACTAGGCCGAAAAGGAGCAGGGACTACGTTCGGGGACTTATCATGGTAATGGCCGTAACATGAGCGTATCGAAAACGCTATTAATTAGCCCCCAGCGCCCGGGGAGCGACAAGGGTGCGGTCGGCATTCGGGAAATTAATCCTACCGGGGTCAGCGACAACCCCAGACGTCTGGCGGAAACAATTGACAGTATCGACGGAGCGTTGGCTCGGCGGGCAATTAAGCGATTAGTGCGCAGCGGTCACTTATCGGCGAATGTATGCCCATCAAGTGAAACCGGTGACGTCCGCGTCTGTGTCCACACGTCTGCCAATTAAGTGGCCCCGTCCGAGCTGCGGTATCGAAGCGACCCCGAGTCGATTCTAGAGTCTTTTCACCCTTGTGTTTTACCAAGATGACGTATCGATTCTATATACCGTTGCACCAAACTAGCCGTGCCCACAACAAGTATGTTAAGACAATATAGAAACTATATACACGTAAAAGAAAACGTGTGTCCTTTATAGCTGAAGGCCATATGGAGTTGTATATACCTAGTTTTAATTAAACACCAATTTTGTAATTACTACTAAAAGACTTGCCGACGTCAGTATTTACATCGGAGTATAATGTGAGCCGTGATAGCTCAGTGTCCGGGCGCTCGCCTTTAATTCAATATACTCGAGCAACCTGAGTTCGATCCCCGGTGCTGGCACCAATGAAGTTTTTAACTTTAAGTGCTGACTTATCACGTGCTCCGCGGTGAAAGAAAACATCGTGAGGAAACCTGCATATTTTCGAAATATTAACAAAAAATGTATATATTTCGAAAATATGTGAAGTCCGCTAATCCGCAGTGGGGCCGCGTGGTGGACTATGCCCTGATACCCTCTGTATAGAGGAGACCTTTGCCCAGCAGTGGGACAAATATAGGCTGTTACTTAACTTTTTTACTTTTACAGTGTGAGTGTCTTCATGGTAATAGTTAATGGGGTTAGAACAGAAGTTTATAAATGGAAAAAAAAATCCCAACATTATAAATGCGACTTAAAAACGCGTACACTTTAGACGAGGCTAATGATAGTCTTACTAGTAATACAACGGGCACTGTTGTATTACTAGTAACACTATCATTTAGCTTTATGCGAGAATTGTTTTAATATTTTATGAGAGCAACTTTTCGAATGGGCATTGCATTGTGTTAAACGAAGTAGTCTGTATGGACTGCACCGGATGTCCCTGTTAAGATATCAGAATATACATCCGGTTGCTAAAATTATGTAGAATGAGATACTTCCCTTCGTTTAGATACGACGTCGACCAAACTGCTTACTTTTGTTATAATGCAGAGTAAACGAATTAAAACACGATCTCGCAAGAAAAACTCAGGTAACAACGACCTTCTATTAGATTAATGTTATCGAGAAAAATGTCAAGTCAACTGTAGCTTAATGGAAACGTGTATAAAAAAATGAAAATTTTCGCTCCAGTTGGGTTGTTAAAAAATATTAAATTAACTTAAATTTCTCAAGTTAATATTAAGTTATTTACACTATGTAAACTTACCGTACTATAATTACACGAAGAGTTTATTATTTTCATTACATATAACTACTACATATTAAAGAATATAATGTCATGTTATATGTATCTTACCGGGTATTCGTAATATTTGAAAATAAAAGTAATTTATAGATTTACGTATGCAAACAAAGAATCCTGTGATAACAATGGAACTGGTGAGTTTAATGCGGAGAGTACTTTGTCATTATAAATAAATATGAGTATAGTACATATTAAAATAATATAATAATATGTATCTTTCCGAGTATTCGTAATCAGTTGCGTTGTTGGTAATGATAAAAGCGTTAAAACTTAATGTACTACGAACGTTCATACATATGAAAATGAAATCAAAATTGGTTTTATTACATCCAATAAAGAGATGTTTTATTCGATACAGAAATAAAAGACTGTATAATTATTTCATTTAATGTGCGGTGATACCCCGTATGATTTGGAGACGCGTGGATTTAGTCTTATTAATGAAAATTGCTTCATCTTAAAACATGCCCTCTTTAAATCATGTCCTCGATACAGTCCATTCTCCTGAAGAGGGAACTCACACAATGCATGCTTGAGTTGGAATTACTCCACTTGGTTAAATAAAACTTATTTTTCATTTTCGTCTATCCCGTGACGTCGAAACGTCGGAAATTATCATCCAAATTATATTAGGTCCTGTTAACTGGAAACTTTCCTGTTCACGAGACTGCTGTATCACCGCAGAATGCATAACATGCTTAGTACCGAAAAACAAAACTGATTTTAAATAACTGACTCACTAAACATTTTCTATTTGATTTTCGGTTCCAATGCAAAAATAAAATCCGTTCAATGAACGAGCAGAGCTCAGAAGCTCTGAGAAAACTAACACAAATAAATGCAACCGAATTTAGAAGGTCCTCCTTTTTTTAAATCGGTTGAAAAAACGAAACAAAATATTTTTTAACGGTAGCTGAAAGTCGTATGAACGCATTAATAGCACCCCAATAGTATTAAACACGTTTAGCCCCACTTCTTTCACACCGTGTTAGTTTTAATATGATATTAAATATATTACCCGACAGTTAAGGGATGTGAGTAATCCATACGGGTTCAACAAATTTGTTATTATGCTATAAAATCTGAAATCGTCAATAAGTTTATATCAAGATGAACAAGGCGGATTGTTTGATATTCTCAAGTAGACAATATTTATTTTTTAACAAAAATCTTCAAAAAAAAAAACCAGGTGCAGGTGAATTGTATAGAATTAATATTAAGCAAGAATTAAGGCTGAACTAGTACTTATTCCGGAATTACTTTTGGACTACTTTTGGAATTAAGCATTATTTTAAATGGGTCGGCCATTTTAAATAATGCTTAATTCCAAAAGAATGACCGCAGACGTTTCGGTTGTTTTGGCATAACAATACCACAACGAGTTACAACTTTGTAATGTACAACAAACTATACAACTGTGCGGTGATTCTTGGTATTGATATAACAAACTGCACTGTCAAAATTCTTTCCGGGTACGTTATAAATACATATTACATGTAACAGTCTAAGTTAAGGATAAGAATTTTGTACCAGGTTAATAAAGCCCTTTGTCCCTGTCTATACAGATTACAACTCCTTTCCGATATACGCAAATTAACCTGCAAAAGCCTGTAGAGGAAGTGGAAAAGACTGCAGTGATATAATCAAAGCCTTTATACGATTTGTTTTTATAATAAAGCAGCATGTGGTAATTATAACGACGCTTTCGGCCATTTGCTTTAATGGCCGGAGACTGAGGCCCAATAGCAATTTTACTGCTTTTGTATGTGACGATGACGTCATACTAATGTTAAGCGACTGTACTCCACTTATAAATGAATAAGGAAGTAACTAAGCGATCACAAGGTATTAGAAGTTGACTTTGAATTAATTTGAGAAGAACCCTTAACGCGTACATACATATAATTAAAATCTAGTTAGGTTACTTGATGATGAATTCAAATTCGGTTCGATTCCCACACGGGACAACTATTTGTGCGACCCACAGATAGTTGTTTCGCATCTGGGTGTTTGTCTACGTGAAATGCATGTTTGTAAAACGTCCTTACAACACAGGATAATGTTATCCTAAAGTAAGGGCAATGTTTTTTAAAAAAAAAAGAAAAAAGAGAGAGAGAGAAAGATGTAGGTATGTATATTTAACAAAGTGCTGTGGATTTTCTTTCTAAATAAAAGTATAAAAAATACGTAAATTCGTCGTAACTTTTGAAGACGTAACCGAGTAAAGCCTTTCATTTATTTCAACGTCTGACCGTAATGCGACACGGTTTTAAATGTTGTCCAAAAAGAGATATCGATTCATAGAGGTTCATTAAGACTACCAAATCAAGGAAAGTTTCGGAACGTCGACTTTCAGTTTTTGTGAAGCAAAAGTCAAACGCAAACAATTTGCTTGACCTTATTGACTTTGATTAAGATTGGACCGTCGGCGAATAACAAGGCCAAATTAATGTTTTGTAAAAACTGAAATAAAAACATGAGTCGACTCGTTGTCACCGGGGGCCATACAGGTAATAGTGAAAGATTAACGTAAAATAATCATTGTTCATTAGATTTCTTGAAATCATTCATTATATATTTCATTTTGAATATTATACATATTAAATGAAATCAGTGTACGGATTTTATCACGTTTTAATTTTGATTTTTAATTCCCGACGTTTCGAACCCTTTATACAGCGTTCATGGTGACGGGACAGAGTGTAGTTTCATTTAATACTAGCGACCCGCCCCGGCGTCGCACCGGTGCAATGTATTATACATATAAAACTTCCTCTTGAATCACTCTATCTAGTCAAATAAATCGCATCAAGAAGCATTGGTTAGTTATAAAGATCTACCCATACATAGGGACAGACAGTGATTGTTCAATAGTTCACCTACCACCCACTAACCATTTTATATATTTAAATTAGTTGTATGATTTTAACAGCCATGCTGACAAGTAATTGAAAGCAATCATATAGGAATTTTAACGGTTAATTTAATTTTTTGATTCGCAAATAACATTACCAGCCGAGTTTGTGTGCAATTCTCATCGGTGGAACATAAAGTAATCATTAACCGATCCGAACGGACGAATTGCGCCGTGTCCTCGTCATTGTCAATGTCAAACACGCGTCGTAAAAAATTTAACAACGTTTTATTGGTTCTGAATCGAGACATAAACGTGTGTTGTAGCAAATAAGATAACTTCTTGTATTGATCAACATGAAAACTAATTATTCAATTGAAATTTATATTAAAAAAAACCCAAAGCCACTTATTCTATATAAAAAAATTTATATAGAATAAATTGCTTTGGGTTAAAATTGTGTTTTTTTTTTAGAGTTAATTTTCGTTCATAAACGATTTGAAATAGCGTTAAAAGATAAATTCAAATCTTTCGAATTTATAAATAATTGCGAAATGGGTTTACTTGACCCAAACTGATTATAAAATGAAATAACAATGGAACACATACAAATAAGCGTTTCCTGTGGACATAAAATCCTTGTCTATTGTTTTTTTTTTATATAATCTCATTATTTATTTCATTATTAAAAAATATTTACATACTTATTACTATAAATGGAATTTCGCCAAATTTTAAAATTAGTTTTACTCTACGTATAATCTGACCTACAACTACCCCACTTTACCCCACTTGTAAAGTTAAATACATCCTATTTTTTTAATGAACCAAAGAGTTGGTCGGAAAAAGGTTCGAGGAGCACAAAAAGTTATACTAAAACTCATTTAAGGTTTTACATCCGTTTTTATTTTAAATCCAATCACCATTAAACCTAAAAGCACATAAAGCACATGGCAGTTGGTCGTAAGTGTTGGATCGTCTAGACCAGACTACATACATATATATAATGCATATATGTACGTGATTCAGTTTCAGAACAGTATCTAATTAAACACGTAATGTTTCTAAATACTAACTAATGAGATATCTAATCAAACAGTTGACTAATTTGTAGTCATCCACCGCTAAGCCAAACAAAATTCCTCAATAAGAATATGATATTTAATAACAACATTATTTTAATAATGCATTTGTTAGCCAAGCATTACTAATATCATGTGATACAGACCAGCTTGTAAGCACTGGTTGAGGTGTAGGATTTCTAACTTTTTTCTGTCAAGTTTATTGCAATTGTGGGCAAAGTTATCTACTAACTCATGTTTGTCACTTTCATTGCGGTCGTATGCAAAGGTGCCTACTGACTTCTGTCTGTCACTTTCATAACAGTTTTGTGCAAAGGTACCTCTATCAACTCTTGTCTGTCACTTTTATTGCAATTTTGTGCAAATTTACCTACTAAATCCTAACTGTCACTTTCATTGCAATCATGTAGGATTTGTAATTTGGTAAAACAATATGAATGAAAAGTACCGAGCTCTAAATGATTTATAATACTAGCTATATAATACTAGCTAACACCCAGCGTGTGTTGCTAAGCTTCTGTAAATTTTTTTTTCGATATTTATATAACAAATTCTTTTGTTTTTTTGGGCCAGAAAACTTCAAAGATTCATAATCGGATATTTACTTTTTTGTGATGAGGGATCACCCTTTTATAAAATTTTTACTACGATCATTAAGGGAATGATACATGATACGTTCGGCACCGTATTGGATTTAAAAAAAAAACGATTTTAAACGCCCAGACTGGTATTTCAAAAGCATTATTTATAAATAAAATATAAGCGTTAACTTATTTACAGAAGAAGTTCTTACATTAGAATTAGAAAAAGTTTCTGCTTCGAATCCGTTAAAAAATCTTTCTCACAGCAGCCGCTTCGCGTTAAAACTTTCAAGATGTCTATTTATAAACAGTTATTCATAAACGAACTACATCTGAGCTATATTAACTCTTTCATTACTAGTCGTTTATACCAGCGAATTTGAATAATTCGCGGAAGATTGTTAATTTGATGGCTCAGAAGTTACTGCCAAATAAAATGATCCCTACTTTTTGCAATCTAATTTGTAGAATGCACAACCTATTGTCATTTCATCGACTATAAAAGAATAATGAGAAACATTTTCTTATTTCTTTATCAAAATGCGTTACTAAATAATTCAACGGAACCCTAATTAAATTAATAATTATCATATTCTTTATTAATAACTATCAAAAAATTTATAATTATCATATTATTAATTTTTAGGGTCCCGTACCCAAAAGGGTAAAACGGGAGCCTATTACTAAGACTCCGCTGTCTGGCTGTCTATCCGTCTGTTACCAGGCTGTATCTCATGAACCGTGACTTTTTCATTCGTTACCACAACGACGCTTTATTAGTCTCTCCGCCTAACAGTATGTGATATCTCTTTTAAATTCATTCTATCAAATAATATTAGTAAATATTGATGTTTAATGATGGTAAATGTTTAATACAATTTTAAGAAGTTATCATCAATATGTGTGTTTATTTAAGGTCGCGGTAGTAGCGTTTCGTCATGCTACGTACCTATAACATACGCTCCCAAGCTGTACTTATTAAGTAAATGATTTCATTGCATACATATTGTAGAAAACTACACAACTAGTAGGTATAGTCACCTACAGTTCTCTAACAAATCACTTACGTCTTGAACCATAAATCTGTTTCGATTTCGTAAACAGCAACCAGAAATAGTGCGCGACGAGAGCAATACCTGCTGCGTTAAACATTGAATACAAGCTTATACACGAGGCTCTGCTCACGTGGTTCTAAATTACAGGTACCCGTTTCGTTCCATGTGCTTAAACGTGTATGTATAGTGTCTTTATCACAGAATAATAATATCCCACATTAGAGGCAAATCAAAACGAAAGGCCAAGTGGGGTATTTCGACAGTCGAAATTAAGAATTTCCCGTAATCTGTCAACGCGTCGGCCCATTTATCACTCCTTTCAATTTCGCTCGGCCAATGCGTTACGGTCCAAGACGTCATCAATTACGTAAATGCGAAAATTGTCACTGTCGCTTTATATGAAGCATCTTCTATATCGCAGGTGTCTTTTGACGTAATTGAACGATATTGTGGAAGAATAAAGTGAAATAAAAATACCAGCCATTAATATCTAATACAGGAAGAGTGGCACAGGTAAATAGAATTAAAATGTTTTTAATGATATTGTTGACTCGATGGCGCCGTTGGTAGGCTATTGGCTTTGGCGGCGGCGGTCGTGGGTTCGATTCGACATCCGGCTTCGGATTCGGCAACCTTATATTTTCGACATTTAAGATATAAGTACTTAAAGTAAAAGTAAAATAATTTTACAGATCGTTGCTATCGATTATAAAAGTTTTAACTACTCAGTGTAAATCTTAACTAATATCGATTATGGTAATAATAATAAAGAAAATAAATATGTTTTTTTTTAATTTAGTTTTAACATATAAGCCAGCCAGACGAGTACAAAATTGAAAACCGTAGGTACCCATGTCGAAAACTAAAACAAATTTGTTTTTATACATTTGTGAGTTTAAATTAACAATAAAATAGTTTTAAAGCAACATTTAAAAAAAAAGTTTAAATTTATAAAAACAAAAAAACACGTTGGTTATTGATAATTATCTCTTCGATAAAACATCTGTTTCTGAGTTGTGATAATAGTGTCGACATCACTCGATTGGCAAAAATGCGTGCCTCCGTTATTTAATTTAGTTTCTAAAACACCAATTCATGTACGAACATATAGGTACGTAACGTAAACATAAAGTACCTGGAGGACCTTTTTTTTTGATAAATTGAAAAAAAAAATAAAAAAAATAAAAAATCAAGAAAGCAATGATCTGGTATAGAAAAAAAAGTAAAAAAATAAGGGTTTAAATGATCGTGACACGAACCGCCTTCTGTTTCGGGGCCGCGCGATTAACGACCGAGCTATTATAACATTTTTTTTCGGCGAAATTTACCGTCATATTCGAATGATATTTTTCATTCCCTGAAAACAGGGATAAAAGAAAATTTTCTAAAAATGAAACCTACCAAGATCGATTTTTCGCCCCTGAATCTACGCACATACTTAATTTCATGAAAATCGCTGGAGTCGTTTCCGAGATTCCGATTATACAGCGTGTCGTTACCATCGCGACAATAAATGAACACACGTCTAACGCTACTTGCCAATAATCATAAAAAAATATTAAGGTTAAACAAAATCCATAATTAAAAAAAAATATTTTTCAAACAAACTAATGTAAGTTCAAGTAAACTAATGTATATACAAGAATTACTCGTTTAAAGGTATAAGATGTACCAACTTCAAGGTGTATAGGTAAACATAAATGTACCAGATTCACAATGTATACGAGTTTAAACTAAAATTAACCCGTTCAAAGCAATCACACAATCCCATTCATCGGGGCATGTTGCCAAAAATGTTCCATGCATTTATCGCTCAATGGAAAATTGAAATACTTCATCTCAGACCTATAACTCATGTGTAATTTGCATATCTGTTGTAGCGCAATTTTGATTTATGAAAAATGTTCTTATTTATGAGAACTTATAATATAAACAGTAACTGTTAGTAGAAAATGCCAGTCGTATATGTTATGTGATTAGCAAATATGTACAAAATGTTTGAAAAATGACTTTAAGAATAACTCCCAGAAATAGAAACAAAAGCAGATATAGAAATAGAAATCCTATCTATCTCTCGCCAAGCTTGTTTAGTGCATCGAGCGCAAATATGAAACGGCATTTTTGCGATGTTCTTAAAAACAAAGATAATCCAGGTCCGTCCGGGTAGTTACCGCGACGAAGTGGAAGTGTTACACTTCTGCGTTTCTTCTGGTGAGTGAGGTAGCCAGGGCCCACTTTATTAAAAGGTGGCAACGCATCTGCAACTCTACAGGTGCTGCAAATGTCAATGGGCGGCGGTTATCACTTAACATCAGGTAAACTGCCATCCCGGTTGTCAACTACTCACATAAAAAAATAAAAACCAACTTTACAATTCAAGGTCGCGATTCGACACCAAGGCCACTAACGCTACCGACGTCTGTAGTAATCAAAACCGTAGACCCTATTCTAAATCTGTCACCGTCTAGAATCTAGATATTATCTATACTGTACACGATAAAGGTCACCGTGTCGCGTAAATAGCATAATCGCAACTACATTTAGAACGACAACGCTGAGCCGCTGTGCATGAATCAGCGCGCCGGTTTCCGGAAAACCGGTGCAAATTCATCCGAGACCATCGATGAGTCACCGCCTCAGACGGAGGCTGGACGACGACCCATCGCCACGAGCGTGCACTTTCACTGCCTCTGATTCACCCCCATTCATCCAGAACACCGTATCGTACAGGCGTATGTACATACGCGGGGTTCGCCCGGCAGATGCCTTTACAGTAGTAGGGTTGCCAACTGTTTATGGCAAAATAATGTATCACACTATTCAAATAGAGAAAAATGAAGAAGGTACCTATATAGAAGAAAAAAGTAAAGTATTATTCAAAGTTTTATTTATTTCACCTCTTGAAGATATTTGTATATATATGTTTTTCACTATACCTGCTAAAACTTTCGGAAGGCCACAATGATTTTTCGGTTTAAAAATTTATCAAATATGACAAATTATCATATAAGAAAAAAAGTGATAAAATTTTATTGGGATAAGAATTTTTTTAAATCATATAAAATTGTTATTATTAACAGCAAAAGCTTCTAAGTTGAAAGTGTTCTGTTTCAGCTTAGAAGTATCGATAAAAGACGAGTTATTTTTTTTATTTGTTATCATTTTATATCATGTATCCCGGTGAAGATTGAAAATAGAGTATCTTCACATACATTATTTGTATGCTAGACTAAAGTAGGATACGATGTTATAAAGTATGGTTGGCAACCCGAAGCACACCCAAACAATTTCGTTCAAAAACATACGTTGTATTAAATAATTTCCGTACGCATGTGTCGTATCAAATCAAAACGGGCGCCTAAACGTACTCTACTCATGTCTATTAAACGGTACGTTTGGTCAAGGTGTAAATGTGTTAAAGGCCCATTTACCTGGTGCCAGTTTCTTGCCTGTTGTATACAATTAAATTGAAGCAATAAATGAGTTGCATGGTATAAACAACAAATGGTCTAAACAATTATTGCGCGCAATTTATTGCATTCAATTATTGCTCTTGTATGTACAAGAAAATGGCATCGTGTAAATGGGCCTTAAGTCTCCTTTACTGGTTTTCTGTGGTTAGTGATGTCGTGATCGATAGGTAACTTATTACAAATACTATATTAGTAGACCCCGAATTAAAGTACGTTATCGATGATTCCAAACACGTTAATTACATTTAAATTATTAATTGTAGATTAATGGGCTGATAATGACAAGATGCATACAGGCAGAGCATTCGTACATAACCGTCTAATTTATCTTACAACTATCAAAAGTTTATTTTTCGAGCAAGAATGTTTACTTGTACATTACAAGGACAAATTTCGGTGAGCAATTTTAAGCTAACCTTTTGTAAAGTGGCGTAAAAATAAAAAAGGTATAACGCTCCATTTACAATAAAGGAATTGAATTGTATTCATTATCAATTAACCTGTTTTGTAGCCTCAATTTTGTGTGTAAAGGAGGTAATTTATTTACACAAAATCCTTTCATCTGTGTAAAGAAATCAGGTGATTTATTTATTATTTATTCATTATTAGAGCTAAAAAATCCGCGTCAAAAAGTTTCCACCCTTTTTAAATAAAAGGATTGTAATATTTTCTAAACAAAAAAATGACAAATTTTACGTCATCTGACCTTCAATGTCTTTGACCTTTCGCCTGAATCGTAAGAACCACCTCATCGGTAATATATACAGATAAATAAAATTGTATTATCCGTTTTTAATATTAAAATAACCGCTTTTTACTAAATGTATATTTTTTATTTTATTTTATTTTGTATACGCGGTACATATGCCAAAATAACATTTTTTACTATTTTTGTCTGTCTGTTCTGGCTAATCTCCGATGCGGCTGGACCGATTTTGACGGAACTGTCACTGGCAGATGCTGATGTAATAAGGAGTTAACTTAGGCTAACTTTTATTTTAAAAAATTTTATTTTTATAATTTCCACGCGGACAATGTCGCGGGCACAGCTAGGAAAATCTAAATTTAAAAGTACAACGCAAACTGCAACAAAAATAGATTATCCGAAATAGAATGTTTGACGTTCTCTTTTAGGTTATTATTTCCTCATTCGTTGAAATTTTAAGTGTTAGAAAAAATGTCAATAATCGTGCTAATTACGCTGTCAATGCAAAGATCATTGCATTGCAAATAACAATGTCAGAAAGCGAGCACTCTTGGTCTCTGTCGGTTATAGAGATAGGTACTACAAATATTATATAAAAGCCTATACATGTCCCACTGCTGGGCAAAGGCCTCCTCTATACAAAGGGTATCAGGGCATAGTCCACCACGCGGCCCCAGTGCTGATTGGCGGACTTCACATGTCTTCGAAATATATTTCTTTTTGTTATTATTTCGAAAATATGCAGGTTTCCTCACGATGTTTTCCTTCACCACGGAGCACGTCAACACTTAAAATTAAAAACTTCATTGGTGCCGGGACCGGGGATCGAACTCAGGTTGCTCGAGTATATTGAATTAAAGGCGAGCGCCCGGACACTGAGCTATCACGGCTTTAACATATACTTTAATTTAATTTTCGTACATGATTGGATATTATTGTATTTAGTTTTTGTTATGTTTTGTTACCAAACGTTGCCTATAATTTAGGATAACATTACCCTGTGTTGTAAGGAGGTTTTACAAATATAAATTTCACGCGGATCACACCAAGTCGGTCCGTGTGGGAATCGAACCCCCGACGCAGAAGCCAGTACAACTGCACCGCATCGTTTTTGTTCTCATTTATCATGAGACGAAAAGCCAGCTCGCTAGCCATGTTCTTCCATAAAAAAGATAACAGTACAGTTGTAAGGTTAGGGTAATTTAAGACAACCTGTACAATCCGACTTACAAGGATAAGTTACTATTAAAAAAACACAATATTGTATGAAAAACCAATATTTATGTTGAAACTAAACATAGTAGCTATGATTTTCCCACGTAGCTGACATATTTACAAGTTATCAGAAATTTATCCATAAACGTGACTTCATTAGCGTATCAACAGTCTACACATGATTGTTTATATAAAATCTGCAATTTCTGTTCTGTAAAAATTGCTGATTTTGCGTTGTCTTTGGGTCTTTGGCTTATGGCATGTATATTCTATAAAGCCGGTTGACATTGAATAAATACGTTGTGAGGAAAAATTTTTCCAGATACGGTTAGTACCTAGTTCAGGAAAATGTATTCCTTATCAGACTACGAGGTAGTTTATTTAACTCTTGAAATAATATTAAATGAACGTTTAATTCCTTCAATAGAACATACTACATAATATGTACATGCCCAAACATCCAAGCGAAACCAATATTATAACTTTAATTCTTTATCTTTAAACATCAGAATCGATATAAGAAAACTTTCGTATTATCGTACAACTAAAATGTTTTTGACGATAGTTAATTCGACAAAAGTAAACTTAATTATAGGTACTGGGTAGCAACATTCAATCCGGGCGAATGGTTTCAACTAACAACGAAACATTTTGATTAGTCACCCGTAATTTGAGTTACAATTACTTTTTATTAACGTGCGCAAACTGTTAGCACAATATTCCGCATAGCACGAAGGAAGCCCTGAACTTTTAACCCAAGCCATACCTACCTTCGCAGCGATTAATACAATCACACGTCATATCGCAAAACTGTCAATCTCAAAACAACAGCGAAGCGTTAACAAATTAATGGCCAAAACAAATTAGTACTATGTTATTGAAATGTCAGTTAAACCGCGAAAAGATAGAAGAAGATTTAAAGAATCCACGCATTCAGTTACATCATGGTTAATTTTGCTTTACGCTTTATGTATGTCAAAAATCAGAGTAACTCCAAAGCCGTCCGGTTCTGTATCATTAATTACAAATTAACAACAAACATCGTGTTCGTCACCCATTTTAATATTAATAACAAGTAACATTTCCGATTGATTTTCGTTTGAAAACGAAACGTTCTGTCGGGGTTTGTTGAGGAAATTTAAGACACAGACCGCAAAATTATAAGTACGCTTGCGGCTTTAATAATCGGTTTTCTTTTTATAGCCGCTCCTTGGAACTATTTTCCAACAGCAACGAAAAACATATATCTAAACATTACTATTGAAGCTCTCGGCTAGCGCTTAATGGATCTCGTTTTTTGCAAGCGATAATATTTGCATAATTTGCTTGCTCGGCTAATGTGTTTGGTGTCTAATTATGACAGTCAGGGACGACTTTGAAATTTTCACTGATACAAAAACGAGTATAAACATTTTCAGGCAGACTGTTGCACCATTTGAACTATGTCTCTTGATGAGTAGGCCATTAGTCTAAATAAAACTTTTTCGATTGAAAGATCTAAGATGAAATCATTCAAACCTGTTTCCGTGACTGTAGTAGTGTACTCGGTTGCGTTCGCGCATGATATAGCGATACCACTCGCAACAAACAACAGCCGCCAACTCCAGACGCCAATCATGTTTTACGAAAGCGATTACTCTATTAACATAACACAAGTATTCAACTCCGAGCACAGCGTTACGTCGCAAAACTGCTATACCATGTTAAAACATTTCAACATCGCATCCTATAGCTAATTTATCAATCGGACCGTGATCCTTAAACGCGAGCATTCCACAATATCACTGGTTGTTGTAGTAAACAACGATTCGAAACCTCCAAACACTGAGTCATTTCGCGCTAAAACATATGCGTATTAATTTTCTTTAAAACAATTTCCAAAAGAAACGACAAACTGACTGCGTTACGTTGAAATCACAAGGTCGAACGGGATCGGCGCGTTCGTTATGCGTCGACGGACAGTATGGGCGATTTTTTTTCTTTCAATCACCATAAAAGTTAACAAGTATTCGATTGCACGACACGTGATGCGCTGGAGTGATGACGACACGTCCAAACGGCGGCAAGCACTCCGACGGAATGTCCAACGAACGCGCGCGCTCGCATGCGGCGGCCACGGCCCCGTCACTAGACGAAGATAACACCATACGGGCACCATGCAAAAGAAAGAGAGTTCGGATAACACGGTACTTAGGCACTCCGCCGAAATCCTAACACATTTATTTGCCACAAGCGTATCGCACTTCTATTGTTTACAAAATACAAATATTTACGAATAAAATTGCACGCGCTAAACGTTATTTAAGAGTCAAGTGACGCTGCCTCAACGGACCACACGAACTATTTTAAGCACAGAGACATTTTTGGCTGATGATTGAAATTCCCTTTCTCTTCTTTTTGTTACGAACAATAATTAAACTGTAATTAACATATAACCTTATTAAATACTGTTATAAATTGTAAATTGACTTCCTCTTCATCATCATCATCATTTCAGCCTGTTTGATTCCACTGCTGAACATATTTAACATGATTTCCTCTTTCTCAATTAAGTTAAAAGTATTTTTATCTACGTTTGGCATTTCTCGAACAATTCTTACACACTTCTTATAGTGTAAACAGCACTTACCTGTAGAATTGTTTAAAAATGTATAGATAAGATATTATAATTTAGTAGACCCTGAATACTAAATATAGATAGTGAGAACAACTTTTACCTTACAATATTTAAGAGAAAGGCTAAGATCACGTTTGAATAACAAATAACAACTCCAATTAAAATTCAGCATTTTTACATAATAAACATACGAACTCTTCGAATAGACATTTTAGATTTTTTGCATTTTGTGCTTAACTTTTTACAGCAAAAATAAAAATACATCTCAAATTAAAAAAAAAAAACAACTACCATTAAATTCCATACAATTTCCAGTTTTTGAACATTGAGAGGATTAAAGGAATTCATATTGTACGTACACAAATTGGTGTGTTCCTCCATTTTGGAACAAACGTTATTCCATTTTCGAAACCAATAATGAGGATGGAATTTCTGATTAGAAATACGGAGGGACCATACAAATAGAACGAACAGCGCTCCCCCATTTAGAGATAAAAAAGAGATAGGGTCAATAACTCAGCGAGGCGATTAAATGTTGACAATTTGTTAAAAGAGAACAGATTTATATAACTTACCATGTTAGTTAAAGAGAATTAAATGTTTTTTGTACTAATTATTTGAAACATGTTACTAGTCGATAGAAGCGTAATATTAGCAGATTCTACCTGTACTTTTAACAACAGCAATGATATTCTAATAATTTTTTCTAACTAAATAAACATCGTGTCGGAGTAATAAATAACAATTTCTAACAATGATTGCATTCCACGACGTTATAATTATATTTAAATAATCTTAATTCTGATCAATAAATTTATAGAACTCATTTGTCTTGTCTTTTATTAAAAACTAGCTGACCCGGCAAGCGTTGTTTTGCCATATAAAATATTTATAGGGAATTTGGAAGTATTTGACACAGACATAGTTGACAGGTTGGCAGGTACAGTTTGTATGGGAAAATAAAAAACGTTGCTATTTCGATTTTCCATGCATTTTTCCATAATTTCCAAACGTTTAAACCTTCCCTGGACTGCCACCAGTATTTCAAAACCAAAATTAGCAGAATCGGCCCAGCCGTTCTTAAGTTTTAGCGAGACTAACGACCAACAATCCATTTTTATACAGCGTGTCGTTACCATCGCGACAATAAATGAACACACGTCTAACGCTACTTGCCAATAATCATAAAAAAATATTAACGTTAAACAAAATCCATAATTAAAAAAAAAAAAATTTTCAAACAAACTAATTAAGTAAAAAAGAAACAAAATTTGTAACACCTATACAACTCGCGCCACAGCGTCGCATTACAAGCCTATCCTTCTAACAGTATGTTTTGTCTCTTTTAAATTCATTCAACCCATTCATATGCTTTGTGACCTTTACAAATGAACTTTACGTTACAGTTTTATACGTAAGGATGTTCTAAAATTGTTTGTTTTGGAAAATTTAATAACTCTGTAAATATTGATGTTTAAAGAATGTAAATGTTTAATACAATTTTAAAAAGTTATCCTCTATGTGTGTGTTCATTTATTGTCGCGGTGGTAACGACACACTGTATATAAGATTGGCAAACGAGCTGGCAGCTCACCTGATGTTAAGTGATAACCGCCGCCTATGGGCATTTGCAACACCCGTAGGGTTTGGCCAGTGCCGTAATACGCTCTCCACAGAACAGGCCTTTGCATAGCAGTCGTTACCAAAGGCCGTATCGCTTCGCATACATTGTCGCGATGGTAAAGACAAGCTGTATACATACAAACGCTGCTACTTTAATTTACTTGGACACTATGATTCTGAAATGAAAATCGCGTTTGAAAGTCTGTACTCATTTTCTCACGTACTTACTAATTTAATGACGAGAAGAGCAATGCTTTAACGAAAACATTAAAACATTACACACACATAAAAATTATAATATTCATTCTAAGTAAAAGATTGGTCTATCTGACGTTTAACAATCTGTCCATCGGTTGAATAAAAGTTATTGTAATAAGCGAACATCAAACTTATCAGTTATCGCGTCTATCAAAATATTTGGCTATTGACAATCGGACGCCACTAATTGTCCTAAGGCTTAAACTATTTAAATTGAAATAAAATCATATCTCATTGTATTAATTTCGTTTACGGTAATATATTTAACATTATTCTTGCAGTCTCATCGTAGAGTCATAATTTTTTCTCGTGATTTTTTTTATATTCTAATTCATTTTTCTACTCTTCTTTAATTAAATCTGTCAGACGTTTGGAGTCATACAATTATAAGTTTATCTTACAAGAGAATGAATAAAAAGATCCACGCTTACGGAAACTCATAAAAACTATAACCCTTTAACGACAAAATATTTATTAACCCTTTAACGAAAAAATATTTATAAACAGACAAGTCCATGTTTTTATTAACGAAAAACAAAACCTACTTCCAAATATCTCGCTCTGTATTCTTTTTGTAATTGATTTTGAGGAGTTCCCCAAGTGCCTCCGGAGCCCAAGATCCAATACCAATTAAATTAATATGAGAACACATGGCAAGGCACTTGACAAATGACAACTTATCTACCGAGTCAGAGGTTAAACATCGACTTTAGACTTCATTTCAGCATTCTGAATACATTCTCATCTCGCACGTCCATCTTCTTCTTTGTACTTAACTACACTTTGTACTTAACACACATACTACTATCGTACTATAAAGCGACGTAACGGTTTCCGTTGTTGGGCCGTCATGTCGGGAAAAGAAAAATGCCATTGCAGAAGAATTGAAAGTAAAGAAATTCTTAGATTTTGCATATCTAATGGTGATACGTTCACTGTTACCCGCCTGTCACATGAATTGAATTCCGCTTGTTTGAAGTCTTCACTCGTAAAGAAACCGACATAATTATGTACAAGACAAAGTGATGTGACATAGTCACATATATTACTTTATCGCATGTTACGTTTATATTTTCTGTGAAAAGCTTACGCAGCCCGTGGCGTAATTAAATTGCACAGGTAATGAATTTACGACGACCCATGGGAATATTTTATACAGCGCTAATACTACAGACCCCGTGGTGCCTGAAAAATAGATGGACTAACTAACAAGGCTACGATGTACTGAATAATTTAATACGAGCCACCTTCACCCATTTTCGTTGTATTTTGCTATTATGCAACAACGTAGATTAAATTGGTTTCCATTGATTACCGTATTGTTTTATTTATATTGCTTTTATCAAATTGGCGATATCTTTCACTAATCTAAATTAATTATTAAACCAATGATGCGCTCCTTCAGTTTCTTCAAATCTTTTGAACAACTATTTATAACATAGCTCTCATAAACAAAAAATTTCAAAATTGATGACTTTTAAAGTTACGAGTATATTTGTATTAATCTCTAAAGAAATGTGTCCGTTTTATTCGGGCAATTATTTAACAAGTTAGAGTATTAATATTCTTTAACTACTATCTATTATGTTATTAAGATAACTTACAACAAATACAATATATATATAATGTATTTAGCGTCAAAATTGAAAAATAAGCTTTCCCAGAAATTCATCTCGAATGGAACCAATGTTCAGCTTTCAAAGTTAACACTAATAAATACAAATCATAAACCATTTAGAGAAATCAAAAATTATTCGTAAAAAAAAACAGGAATCGAACACACTCCTCCCGTTTCGCGTCACCCCCAACCACCCGACAGCCATGGCGTTATCAAACAATGGCGTTTAAATAACATACAACAGTAATGGCTGGCGTGAATAGATATCGCCGTGCACATATCGTCGGCCGATAACGCAATCAGAAATGAATACACTTTGGAGACTGGCTGATATGACATCTCACAAAATGCCACTATCGCTGGATTTCTGTTTGGATTGCGATAACTTAACAGCGGCCCGATAATGGTCGGGATTTGTAATTATTTTCGGAGTAATTCGTCGTCCGACTCAACACAGTAACAGTGATAATGCAATCAGAAAGGGTACATACTATGACAATTTGGATGTTGGCGAAACAAGCACACATTGTTGAAATGAAATATTTTTACGAATTTTATCTGTAATTACGAGCCGTGAATGCTCAGTGTCCGGGCGCTCGCCTTTAATTCAATATACTCGAGCAACCTGAGTTCGATCCCCGGTGCCGGCACCAATGAAGTTTTTAACTTTAAGTGCTGACTTATCACGTGCTCCGCGGTGAAGGAAAACATCGTGAGGAAACCTACATATTTTCGAAATAATAACAAAAAAATATATATTTCGAAGATATGTGAAGTCCGCCAACCCGCAGTTGGGCCGCGTGGTGGACTATGCCCTGATACCCTCTCTATAGAGGAGGCCTTTGCCTAGCAGTGGGACATGTATAGGCTGTTACTTTACTTTACTTTACTTATCTGTATTTTTTTTTATTTACGTTCGGGACGCATAGAACACTTTTGAGCATAGTCTCTGTATTCTCAGCATAGTCAGATAGACAGACTGAGATGTTGGCGACCTTATGTTTGACCTAGGGTCACCTACACCTTTTTAT